GCCCATCGTTGGAACGTTCACATTCAAACCGTTCAAATGTGTTACTGCTGGGTGGCCAAGTGTGTCATCGCCGTATCGTATTGATGTGGCAGCTTTCTGCCCCCCATCATCTTATTTTGATTAAGGGTGTCTCAGCTTACCCAAGACATGGCTCTCAAGCCACACGTAGCGGGATGCGTTTAGCATATTTGCACCCGATCGCAGAACTGTCTCGCTCCGGTCTGAAAACTTTTTACGCATTATTTCCTTAAATTTGCTTCCATTTTTTTCGGCAACAAAATAAGCTCTTATTTCGCATTTATTGATTGAATGAAATCCTACTTTCCGAGATTAAGAAATAAAGTGGTGGAATTTTATTGAAGCAGAATTTTGTTCTATCGCTTTTTTAATTATTCTTTCAGCTCCGACCACGACGATATTCAACTTCGTCGGTCTGTTCGAAGTCGTTAGTCTGTGTCGAGATACATTCTTACTTTTCTTTCCTCCAACTGTGCCTCCATTTTTACATTTTCTTTTTAATTGATCCTTCGGATACATTCCACCACTCCTAATCCATATCTCATGTGTTCATTTTGTTGTCTTTTGACCATTCTCTTCAGGGCTTTTGCTTTTTTTGTTGTTCGCAATTTTGTAAACTATTGCATACACACATATTCCTCTTTTTGCTCTCTTAGCACACAGCCCGCCTTTGAGCTCATCCCCCCAAGAATTGGGCCGGAAAGTGAAACCGTTTAACAGGTTATCCCTGATGTTATGAGGTTTATCGTTGGCCATCCATGTGTTCTTTTTTTGCATCGGCCGATTGACTTCGTTGATAGAGACTTATTTCGATATTTATAAGGTATCCGTGCGTGGCTAATGCACGCACTCTATTAGGAAATCTTGCTTTTTAATTTACAATTTATCCATAGTTTGATGATATGTGCCATTGGGCAATCACAAAGACCCTTAATTGGAGGTCTAAAAAATTGTCTCCTGACGGTTATAAAGGCAGGAGGTCTAGGCCTAACCACTAGTACCTCGTCTTGCGGGTTTATATTTTTCTATACAATAATTGCATGGGAATAAGAATCTTTCATATTTTTTGTGTTATCACTGCCTGCTATCGGTGGGTAATTTGGTCGTGGTTAAAAACTTGTATCGAACTTTCGTCTACTCATTCTTGATCGCACATGTGTAACTTGAAATGCTTGTGAAAAATGGGTTAACAAATGCTTCCATTCTGCTACTACTTTTGAAAATGCATCGTGTCAATCCCCTTTTCTCTACCATGAATACCAACGCGCTATTCTGTTCTTAGAATTGTTGAACCTCTTTGACCTACCGTTTTACTTCATTAGAGAAAAACAAGTTCTACTATGCCTTTATAAATAGGCAGTAAGCATTTGACGATCCTCAGATTGACAGCTTGCAGCAAATTCATTTCGTTTCGACGGCGCCGCGCACAAGCACCTACAACGGGCATAACGCTGCAACCTACGAACTAGGGGGAAGTAGCGGAGGTCCATTAGAAACTCAATTCAGGATTATTTTTGCATTTTTTTTCTTGTGGACACTTGCCTGCTTTTAAAACAACATTCAAACCATTCGTCCTATTCAAAAGGCTGAAAGTGCGGATGGGGTTGCAGGGGAACAACGGCAGTTAAACACCAAGCTGTTTCGTAAAGTGTTCCATCAAGCTGATGAATTGTTTGGAAGTTTACCAAGGAGGATCTGAGTTTCTGATTTGTCAAACCAGCCAGTAAAGGGGGAATAATCGACACCCGGTTTACTATTTGCTTCAGTGAAATGTAGCCATGACAACGTCTGTCGAATTGTCATCAACAAATGCGTGTTAATGTCCACTCATTCTTATTCACATGGGTTTTACTTAGGTTTATGCAATACTTTATACTGACATATTTAATTGCCCATTTAATGTGGTTTGTATTTCTGTCATATCAATTTATTCAAGTGGTTATGGAAATCGTGGATACTCACTTGGTGCAGTAATTTTATTACCTTTTGATTAACCAAGATGGCACTGGTTTCAGAAGTACTAATGTTGAGAATGCCTTGACGCACAGTTTCCGTAAGTGTTATGACGACAAAAAGGCTTTTCCATTGCCTGATTTGCAGAGTAGTGGAACAAATTTTCCCACAATTGTGGATTTTCGTTGAATATGATTCACTGGAAATGCACGACTCCTGTTTTTTTTATGAACCAATTGCCTCTTCTGTAATCTGGCTACATGGATGGCTTAGCCGAGGGACCTCTGCTATAGGCTAGGGAATTACAGTTCTAATTGTTTGTAAAAAAAGCGGTGTAAAGGAATGAGTAATTGTAAGACAAGAAGGCCCCATAATTCCCTACTGCAGTGCCTAAGTGCATAGTCTGTGTGACGCGTTTCCCTTGTAGAAGATGGGACGATGAATGCCGCATTTAGTTTGCTTCAGTTATAACCCTCATTACGGTTCATAAAAGTGGTCAAGTAGGTTAAAACACCCTGGAGAAAAACGCTTAACTTTCTGGGAAAGACAATCCTGTCACATAGGACACACAATGATAAAAAATGATTCTTTGTGAATTTGTAGTGTTTAAACCGTTGACAAATATGATCAGCAGCTTTGACGGTGTGCACCAAATAACTGCAATTAGTTTGGTTAGCGAAAAAATCTTCCCATCCCTTCTGTTCCATCCTATCGTGTCTCTATTCATTTTATGGCGAAATCAAAATACGAATGAGAGCAACAAAGTAGTTTATTTTGCAGAATCAAGTCTTGATGAAGTTGTTCTCCCAAGCATACTTTGTTCAAGCTTCAGAATTGTACCGTCTTTTCCCTCATTTTCACGCTTGATTCGTATGCATAGCTCCATAAAACCAGCAAGTCGGTAATTTAAAACCTTTCCACTGCTAGAAATGGAGTCTAGCCGTGATGAGCGATATGACGCGTGAGGCTGCTACTCAGGAATTCCACTTTCGCCTCGTGCAGAACGTTAGGGGTCATTTTTGATTCTCTTGAACAGATATGATGACGCCTCCTCGGTCACGGGGTTGGTCCGATCTATCTGCTTGCCACCATATTTTACATACTGATGGCTACGATGAATGATACAATTATGAGGGTTAAATGAGCCGTTAGTAGAATGTGAGATTTTACAGCGTTACAATTTATTATTGAACTAAATATATTAAGAGACTCATTCGAAAAATAGAAGTGAACGTATTATCGTTAAATTTGGCATTCGTCGTGGTAGATTCGTCAGAAAACATTAGCCGTACAATCCTTTTCTATACATTCTCAACAATATAATTCCTAAAGGAACTTAAAGTAACTGAATTTTACGTATATAAGTGCTACCTTTCAGCCTTTCTGCCAAGTGGGTTTAAAGTATTGCAAAAGGAGATAGTTTTCCTGCTAAACATTCACTTCTCAATTCCTCGCTTGGATCGTTCAAAAGGCATTCTCGCATACTGCTGCACAGTACCATAGTTCTCTTTCCATCCTTCCCTTTAAAATATATACAAATTTTTTTCGTGTCACAAATGGTTTTTTAGTTTCATTAAGTGGAATAAAACCAATCCAAGGAGTACCCAATTTAGTGGCAACTGATGAAATCCTCGACCATGGTGCTTGTAACAGGTATTTTTGAATTAAATGAAAACAACGTTTTGCAATGGTATTTAGGACATGCTTAAAACGTGTCAGCAATCCACGATCTAACTTTTGTGGAAAATTGATAAACGGTTGTTAAACTTGATGCATTTTGGTAAACCTCCTTAATGCCTACATTATAGTAGATAATCCTTCATTTCTTCTGTTATAAAAATCATAGTGACATACAATTAATGAATACCATCGAATAAAATCTTCATTCTGATTACCAATTTTACGACTAAGCTGGAACATGGATGCACAGGAGAACTAACACGAAATTTTGGGAAGTTTAAATCCTTTAGTGTTATATGCACCATGACGTAAAGCCGTTTCTCTGCAAAATTAGAAATTAATTAACTTGAACAATTCAGCACCTCCGGAAGCTGCATCGACTCTTTTTGGCAAAGAAAACACTCACAAATACGATAGTGCTGTTGGACTTTAGCTGCTACTCCCACAGAAGAAGGGCGGATTCCAGATGATGGTGCTTCTGTCGGAGTCTTTTTTAAAAGTGCAGATACTCGAAGATGCAAAATGCCGCTTCTCGGCTGTTGGTTTTGGTAAGAATTAAATAATTCTGTAAGATGATTCAGGGAAGGACAACTTCTGTTCCTAAATCCCTTGGGCAAACAAGACATTTAATCTAATAGCTAGTCTTAAATGGGAAATGAGCATTCGACCTTTCTCAAATAGACAACTTTTAACCCCTGGCGTGCTGCAACAAGGTTAACCAATCCCACACTGACGGATTCAACCCGTCTTCCGCCTCGAACCACCACGCATCCATGACGCAACCCTAGAGCAGCAGTACCACCGAAATCCCTAGCATGAACACTAGCTGGAATAATGGGTTCAACGGCTGTAGAGCCGGGAAAGTGGTCACATTTTTAATTCAACCTCCTTAATTGGGCGATGTTTTCATGGGTTTTCTGAGTGTTGACCAATTAAAGACCATGAAATCGGTATTAACTACCTTTGGCATTCTATCGCTAAGTTCTACATAAGATGGAGGAGTTTTAAGGCTTTGAAGCGAATAATAAAATGGACGTGCGGCCGTTTGTTTTGCTGGTAATAGCACTGGAAACGGTAGTGGTAGCTTCAAAATTGTCAGCTTTGAGAAGGCCGAATACTGAAATAAGCTGGCCAAAAATTGTTGGAATAAATTGCACTGAATTGAATGTACAACTGCAAAGCGAAACGACTACGTGCTCTGCCAAGAATAAGGCACGGAACTAATCGTACGAAAGGGATTTCAGAGAGTTTGATGTATGAAACCGAAAACAACCACCCATGTTGCAAATTGACACGTGAGCAAATCCCTGTCGAACGCAAATCCAACATCGGCGCGAACAGAAGATATAAATGCATACAGTAGTTATACTAGTTTAGTGTATGGTCATGATCAACAAAAAAGGTTGTATTTACCATAGGATGGGCGACATTTCTGTGGAATTAGTGAAAATCAATAAATGGACAAATTAGTGCGTTTGACTCATCGTACAATTATTTGATAATGAGTTTAGCCGTAGATTTAGCTATTCTACCACGTCAGACTTCGTACGATTGCATCCTACTATGACTTCAAATTAGGCCAGTGCTGAGGATAAGGCTAAAAAATGGCAATTTGCTATTCCGTTTGAATATATGCCTAGCTATTGGTTCTATTATGGCCCCTGCTGATGTAAGTCCACTCAGCATCATAGTCTTCCAGCAATGCCTGTAACAGTTTAATCCTTCTATGAATTGTCATTTCGTTTTCGCCTGCATTACTGTGATGTGTTCCGAATTTAAGGCAAACGGAGAGGACCTATGCTGGAACATAAAGACCCGCTAACCGAAAAATATGAATCAATTTGTCAATCTGCGTATGAACGGTCTTCCAGGAAGGCTTAAGTAGGTAAAACATACAAAGTTATTCCCAGAACACTCCAAAATGCAGGAGAATAAAGATATTTTCCAACATTTACACCATTCACATAGCACTTAGTCTACCTCAAGATTTTGATGTTACTACCTAAATTTTTTTGTATTCAAATACATTTAAGACATGTGGTATCCTTTTCGTGTAATTTCGTAAATGAGGTATATTTGTTAAGGTTCATATTATTATAAGCGTTTACAAGGACAATTTTCATTGGTTTCCTGTGTGGGCATAAAAGGCGGGCCTCTCTTCTTGGTGTGTTCAACTTTTCCCAAAACGTGTTGCTAAATATTGGCAAGACGTGTGGTGTTCAACGATGTCGCACATTTGTGTTACACCCGATTGTGGAAAACCCGCTACGTTGCGATGTCCTACATGTATCAAATTAGGGATTACTGGTTCCTATTTCTGCACTAAGGTAAATGACCCCAGCATTCACACTATTTATACTACAGGAGTGCTTTAAGAAGTACTGGAAAACCCATAAAAACCTTCACCTTCTTGCAGGTTTGTTTTCTTGCACAGATTTTAGTCGAAATCATAGAGGGGAAATGTATGTTCCCTTCCTCGGAATTGGACACCATATTCGATGGCTACTATTTTACCGGTCCACTTAGACCGGCAAAGAAGGTAAGTTGTCGCATCGAAAGATACTTAGATTTTCTTCCTTTAGACGCCTTTTAGAACTATTCCAGATCATATTGCGCGCCCCGACTATGCAGATACCGGCATTCCGGTGTCTGAACGGGAGGCCAAGAGCTCACACTCGATTATTGCGCTCAATAAAGAAGAAATTGAGGGGATGCGGGTCACTGGAAGAGTAAATTAGGTTATATTTCCCCATATGTTCTCCTTAGTTGGCAAGAGAAGTTCTCGATGAGGCAATTGCCGCGGTTGGTGTTGGTGTGACAACCGATGAAATTGACCGGATTGTCCATGAAGCCTGCATCGATCGGGAGTGCTATCCCTCACCGCTCAACTACTTTAACTTCCCTAAGTCCTGTTGCACGTAATTTCCTCTCCTTTTCCATGACTGATCGTTGTTGTCTGTAGGTCGATAAACGAAGTGATTTGCCATGGTATTCCTGATCAGCGGCATCTTGCCGACGGTGACATTCTCAACAGTAAGTCATCGGCTTCATGCCACTTTTGTCATGGTTCAAGTGCTGATATCGGTTGTTTATTTGCTACTTTATTATGATTTTGGTCTTATGCATGAGTTCAGTGTGGGTGACTTTGATCCGAGGGGTACTTTAAATGCGTTCACTCTGAACTATGCGTAAGCTAGCATAGTGATTTGACAGCACCATTCCTACAGGATGAGTAAATTTGAAGAAGCGTGGTTTTCAAGCAATTTGTATGGATTATCATTCGAAGCAAAATATTTTAAAGGTTGACCGCTTTTATTTCAAAATCCTTCTAATTTTAAGTAGGCCCTTATTGTTGCATTGTTCACTGCTCATCGTTACTTTTCCTCCTAAAATTAAGAAACCTAGTGACTTGATTCATTCAAATACACCCTATTTCGCTGCTTCCTTGACTTCCAGTCACATAGTAGACTCACCGACAGTTCCTACTCTTGATCACTTTTCAATGCCTAGTTGACATAACCACCTACTTTGGTGGTTTCCATGGTGACGTCAACGAAACGGTCTTCGTGGGAACGCCTAACGAGAAGTCCATTCGACTAGTGAAGAGTACCTACAACTGTATGGCCAAGTCCATGGATGCTGGTGAGCCCTTTTACTTTAATTTTCATGCGTTTTTTAATGCATTGAGGTCACATAGCGCCTAAAGCGTATCTGTGTGCTTACTTAGTTCCTCATTTCAGTCCGAATAAACAGTTTCTATCTGTTGGTTCACTACGATGGCTGTTCAGGCCGGACAGAGACTGGGTTTTCATTGTCTAAAAAGACCTCTTATCGTGATGATCATACACACAATGATGAGTGCGAGATATACTGAATCAATATCACTATCGCTTGATATATGTCATGCGTGGACAAGATGAGTTTGTAGACTACTGTCTTATTGCGTGCGTGCATCCAACAACGTGTGGCGGTAGATGCTTCTTGCGAAAAATAACGGCGCGCTTTTATCTACGGAAGAATTCCTGCTCGGTATTGCAAAGAGATGGAAATTGTTTGAATAAACTGCTTCTATGACTTCTGTCTGTCTGTTGTCAGTTATCCGGGTTGCGGTGGTTCTCAGCGTTTCCAGCTCACTGAACAACTGTACTTGGAGCGTGGAACGCCTGCCTGATCCTGGATGCTTGTTCGGCTCATAAATTGCTGTGTAACAAGATTTCAAAAGGGATAAATTCTTCCGTGGGAAGGGGGAAGTTAGCACGCGTTAGGTATCCAGACATTCAGACTGTCCCAGTATAATTCAGCCGTAGCGACAGCAGTGCTTTCTAACCCTTACCTTAACTGTTAGAATCAAATCTGCTGTTTTACGTCTGACTCTGCCCTCTTATCCTTGTGAATGGACGAATCGGTCGGTAATGCTTTCATCCATCGTAGTTCGCGTGGGAATGAAGTATCGCGAGCTGGGCGACGTCATTCAACGTCATGCAAATGCTGAAGGATTTTCGGTGGTGCGAACCTACTGCGGCCACGGTGTGCACAGACTTTTCCACTGCCCGCCCAATATACCCCACTATGCTCGTAAGTCACGTCTACTCATCAAAACTTTCCGACTGGGTAATAATTTTTCTGGGTCTGCTTATTTGCCTTATGATATCTGTCGACTACTGGGTTCATTAGGCACCAGTAGTGTCTATTTAAACCTGTAAAAGTAGTATTCATTGCCTGGCTTATAAATGGTTTTATTTTAAATGCGCAGTAGGGATGCCATTTGCTTTCCTGTTTTGATAGTTTTTCGTAGGGGCCGTTACATAGCAATAAAACCGTTTTGCCAAAGTTACCAAGATACATCAGTTTTGGAGTGATTCTTCTTGTTTTAACTCTGGCTTTCTCAGTTTGGACTCCTGTTTTGTCTCATTTTGAATGCTTTTATGCCGGTGTTGAAAGCAGCCTTGCGGTTACTTTAGACTGGTTCAATTCGGGTATGACTGCATTACCGTTTACAATTAGGGTTTCTTGGCCTTTAAGTCTGAAGGTGTTTTTAGTAGCAGTGTCGTGAACTGAGGCTCGTATAATAGCATAAACGAGTAAAAAAAGTCCTTTTATTTCATGTCCACTTCCTCCAGTCAAGTGTTATTAAAAAATTATACTTACTAAATTAATTTAAGCACACGCTCTACAACCCTCTATTTACCACTAACAGAAAACAAGGCAGTGGGATCGACAGCTCCAGGTCATTGCTTCACAATCGAGCCGATGATCAACGAGGGCAACTGGAGGGATGAATTGTGGCCGGACAAGTGGACAGCTGTCACAATTGACGGTTTGCGATCTGCCCAATTCGAACACACCATGATTATCCTCAAACGTGAGGAAGGAATTGAAACACCCGCCATGCTGGAAAACGGGCCTCCTTTGGAGGTCGTGACCGCACGCACTATAAAGGGCGAGGATAAGTTAGCTAATGTGGAGCTACCGCCTGAGGATGCGCTGCATTTCCGTCGTTACGGACGGCCGCACTTTGTGGATCAGTTGCACACCCTGAAAATGGATGTTAAAGCCATTTTGGAACAAAAGGGTACCTCAAATCCGACGATGAAGTGACATAGCAGTAACTTAGGCCCCATTAATATCGTCCTTGCCTTCTAAACCTTTGTTTATACATGTCGCTGACGATAACGATGATTTTGATGCCAGTTTTGGTGAATTACATAACCGTCTATTACTTGCATCCGTCTTGTTACGTTCGGCTCGTTGATCTTTAGGGCGAAAAAAGATATTATTTTTCTATGACAATTTTTCGTTGTGTTATTCGTCCACTTTCTTAAAAAGTTTTTAGTAAGTTTAAGTCTCCCTTTACCTTTTATTACAAAAAGACTTAATTTCTTTGGTTTATTCAAGATTCTTTGAATATTCCTCGGTAATGCAATGAAATTTATGCAGCTAATTTCGGATTAAGATTCTTGTGTTTTGTTTAATGAATGTAGGGAAATAAGAGCAGTATTTTGGCGGTTATGGAATGGACACTCTGGAGAGGTTCAGTGTCCCATTTAGCAGGAGCATAATGAATTTCACTAAACCTTATAATTCTAAGTAAATGCCAGCGTAGGAATCCGTGTGACTGAAAAGATTTGCTAGTAATAAGGGTAAAATCTCGACAAATTGTAGCTTTCCTAGCCGTTCCGTGTTAAAAATCATTAAGTTTAATGATTATTTGAAATAAATCTTACTTTGAGCACTTTTGGATTAAGGAGGCAAGAGCAGTGTAGACCTGTGAATAAATCTTTTAATTAACACCAGTGGTGCACAAAAGGTCCAAATTGTGAATTACAGCAGAAGGCCCTGTGATGTGAGTATTTTTCGGCAATGTTTTACGGCATCCATCGCAAGAGCTGTTGACTGCGATCCAGCACCAGATCACGCTCCCAGCAGGGTCGAAGAGGAAGGTTGGTGAAGAGTTGGTGCTCGGAGAGGATCTGCTGGCGTGCGCGACGCGCATAAATGGCGGTCTGGGCGACCACCAAGAGGGGAGTGACGTTTCCCATTCGGCGGAATCCGAATCACTGCTTCTCTATAAACGCCTTTTATAGGCATATGTGCATGTGACCTTACTTTGTGCTTAATCCCGTGACACATTTTCTTCCAGATGCAGGTGGGACCGTGGAACGTGAGAATGGAGACCCACAGGCTGTTCGTCCGAAGTGCACCTGCAAATTTGGGAAGTAAAATGAGGTTTACTGCGGCAAAATAGTTACAGTGGACCATTGAAATTATCTTTGATTGAATTTATTGGAAAACTTACGTTTTCAAAAAATCTAGTGAAGTTTTGAAACAGCGAAATCCAGTTAAAGGAGCGGAAATGATAAAATGTCATTTTATATGGGAAAAGTTCATAATATTATCCAAGCTCGTAGTGCTATGTTTAATCACAGCGTATTAGTCAACTTTACAACCCCTGTCGGGGTTTTTACGGTCGACTGCAATGGCATCTTACTTGTGGTCACTACGAAAGTGTCGCATATTGTTCATTTGGATGCATTGCAAAGCATGAATTACTTGCGAGCCTGTCGGACTAAACTCTTGATCTTGACCTGTACGTTTACGTTCCCATTTTGAACCCTTGTATCATGAAATGCTCTTTTGACCTAATGAGTGTGTTTTATGAAAAGAATTTAGTTTCAAACGCTTCTTACAACGCTTCCTGTGTTGCGTTTGGTGGTGCAGTGTTTGTTATCCTGTTATGTACTAAACAAATCCATCTAGGCGGTGAAACATTCAGAGACGTTTTGTCTAGCGCGTCGACATTAATAATAATAGATTGACGTAAATGTGTCGACGACTTTTAGCGAAGAGCTGTAGAGTAACTGGTTTGTATCAGGATTAACCAGGTGAAGGAGGTCGAGAAATCTAAGGAAGTGGGTGAGTTTACAGTGTTGATCACTTCAAACTTCAATGTCATCAATTCGTCTCCCACTTCTTTCAAATACTTCACAACGCACATTTTGCCTAACGGCCGATTTTTGGTGAGAAATTGATTTGGCATTCTAACGGTTCCGCTAAGAAGTATGTTGTTGGTTCTCTTCAACCGATCTACGCATTGCCTATCTCACAATCCTAGGGCACGCACAACCTCATTCCCAGTAGTCCTTCTTTGAATTGTGTTTGTTTGTGGTAGATTGGGTATGAAACCGTTAACTAAGAATTGTTTACCTTCTGAAGACTAAGCAGTTATGCTTGAGAGCTATCCACTGGATGAAACTCAAAAGCATGCAGGAGAAATTCTGTCAGAAAAATCCATGACGTGTTAAATTCCGCAGTCGCAAAGTGTATTTCAGGTTTGTTTAAGAGACAAGAGGAATAGATTGTACGAAGAAGTAAAGATAATGTGTATTTTGCCAAATTTAGGGGAATCGTTACAATAACGTCTACATGGGCAAAGTTTCCAATGTGGAAGCGCAGACCAATACTGGAGGAGTTAAGAGTGAAGAGGTTAGGTGTTTTCCGAAAAGTGGGTTGCTGTGCTGTTGTAGCTTCGCCAGATTTCTTGCAATTTGAGGGGAACCATATCTATTTAGAAAATATTTTTTTATGTATTTTACGGTAAACCTGAGAAGCTATGGACATGACGCGATCGCCAAAAGAGGCCGCGTAGTTAAGTTTACAATCTTCAACCTCATTGCCGGGTATCCTTTTGCTCACACTTCTGCTGCGACTGTCATAAGGTGGTCGATGCTTTTCATGGAGGGTACAGGACATCCCATTCCTACTTTATACGTGGACAATGTCATTTCTATTCATTGGGAGTTCCGTTCCATTTGCGAGCTGGATTGAAGAGGGAGAATTCACTGGCTTTGCGTTGCTAGACCTTCGACGGTCTTACAATTAATCGCTATTCATAGGAAAATTTGCTAAAATGCAAAATTTTTAATGACATAACTTCCTGAAGCTGGTATTTTGCACCTATTTCTTCTTGTCTTTTTATCATTTCATTTTTGCCATACCTCACTCAAGCTTTATTTATCTTCCTGAGATGTGGGACAGAAGCAATTGCAGCACCTTTACATAAGTACAATGAACAGCTAAGTAAATTTTACTTTCAAATCTTTAACATATTCTGCCTCGGTTGTTAATTGACTTCTTTCGGAATAAGGAATTAGAATGATCACCAGAAGGTGACAGCTTCGGCAACCCGCAGCAGACGTCTTCTTTCGTGTCACTGAGGTTCGGCGATCAGCCAGAAAAGTAAAAATAATTGCACCTTAATACCGGTTTTGCCTGCCTCTACTACCAGTAGAAAGTCTCGAGTCCTCTTCTCAGCTGTAACGATCCCGACCAATATAAAAGATTTGTTATTAAGGCCAGAATGGAAGGGTGGGCATGGGCATTTGGCTTCTGGCCATGCCACCTAGATTGAATAGTTCATGGAATTAAAAGCCCAGTCAAGTGAATAAAAAATCGCCACAATACACCACTTTAAAACACCGACTGACTGACCCTGCAGTCAAATGGATTCAGGCTGAGAAAATTCCTTCAAAAACCTTTTTTTTCAAAACATCTTGAAAAAGTGCTTTGCAAAACCCATTCACTGAAGTGGTCCAAATGCTGACCATGTAAAGTAAGTAAAGGAGAGCTTTTGAATGTTTTGTATGAAATAGGCAGAACCTGTTTGGTGACAAGTTTTGTTGAATCTGATTAAGATAGGGAAACAGTAATTCTAATGGAAGCAATACTCTAGTTGAAATTCAGCATTTTTATGAAAATTAATCTGTGCCAATCAAGTTGAATTTATTGCGCATATATTGAGAATGATTCCATTGCATAAAAGACTAGTTAAGAGTTACGTTAGTCCTAAAATTATTCTGATATTCATTGTACCGTCTTCTAAAATTAGCAAAAAAGATTTTCACAGATAGCAAAGTCCGGAACTTCGATGCGTAAGAAGAATATAAAAAATACAAAACGACATCATGTTTGATCCCTCCATAAGCTGGTATCACATGCAGTCACGAGGCGGTCATTTGGCCGCGAAGAAGATGAACCTTTCCTCTCCACGGAATCACATGAACATTCCCATTTGTGGTAGTATAAAAGGCTAGAAAAAAGTAACTGGAAATAACTTGAGTCGCCCATGGCAGTGACGGAGAGTCAGTTGATTGAGCTCCTTAAATATCTTCAGGGCAGAAGATACGAACAGGAAATGCGGAGAAACTTCTCTTTTGAACCAAACAAAACTTACTGGTTATGTCGGAAATTCCCTTACTACCCGTAGTCCGGGGGTTTTTTCACTTATTTACGTCCAAGGTGACAAATTTGTAGTAAATTATACCTTAATATGGAAGGCTGAAATTGACTATTTTGAATGTTTTGCTAATTTTTTTTTATTTTGAAAGGAAAATACATATTTTTGCGCCTGTCCCCATCACAGCAACTAGATGCTTTTGCTTCGTTTTAATGATAATGTCCACATACATTTTTTGTCTAAAACTTTATGTGGGTTTTCTTTTCTCTTTATGTGTCTATTTTAAGCACACAGCACAACAGGTGCAGCCATTTAAGCACCAGCTGCCATGCGGGCACCCTAGATGTACTGGTACTTGGTGATCAAGTCTCCAATCTTTATTTAAGCCCTCTGGAACTTCATCTCAACTTTCTTTAACAGTGTACAAATGCGAGAAAGTTCTACGTGAAGGCACTACTCGACTGAAGATCCCTGAATGTTGCGTTAATGACCATAGGTTTCACGTCCACCTTCAGCCCATAAGGTGAAGTGTTGCAGACGTTAGTTCCCACATTGTCAGGAATCCATTCCACGCAATGAACTGAATTATTGCTCCGCGTGTTCAGCATGTTTGCATTTATATCCCTCAAGAAGACGTGAACCGTGAACATAGTTGCATCAGTGAGATACTAGCCATGCCTTGGATCATATGCGACCGCTACTGCCAAGAGAGTTGGGTCTTGAACAGTGCAGATCCCACAGGCCTATAATGACGGCTGGCTAGTGGCGAGAAGCCAGAGGCAAAGAAGTGAGATGATAAAGTAAGTATCCGTTGGACGATGCTAGGTAAATAATTAATGGTTAACTGTGATGAGGTAAAAAATCTAAGATTTTAGCCGGTTTTTCTGTGTGCTCTTCGGTTTTAACTGGAGAAATTAGGCCTAAAGCACTTTTTATTATTCACTTTAAAATTTCTTTGGTCTTAACCAGCAAATGATGGTAATAAATAATAGTGAAGTTGGCAAGGACTAGCCCTTTTATTTATGCAAAAATAGTTGCATTTCGACCAAAGTTATATGGACATTTAGTTTGTTCTGATTTATTCAAAGTTTGCTGGTCAATATTTAAGCCATTTATTCCAGTGAAACCTACTACTTTTTGAAGAAGTAGCGAATGCTAGAGAACTACTTTAGTTAAACACACCTTCCATTTGTACTCATGTTCAATAATATTATCATTTAGTAACAAAATTAGGCTAGATAACTAAGTAGTTACCGAGAGTTTGATAAAATTCTCTAGGACGATCTAATTCTTGTCTGAATTGGTGGCAAGTCGGATTGCAGTGCTTTGGTATTTTGTTTGTATGTGTAAGTACTCGGGGGCACTCTAATCACCCCAGATTGTACTTTTGTTCTGAGAGATGGACTTTAGACAACGCTAATAGCCTCCCAGCTCGTAGACTCTGGCTATCACAGTGCCACTATGAAAGGAGGAATACCCTGACGGCTGAAGGAATCGAAGGCTGGAGAAACAGCGCAGGTAAAAGTACGCTGCAGGAAATCTCCACCATTCCATCTTATAACTGCTCAAAATTAGGTTGAATACTTATAGATGATAATCAACTTGATGGACTCTTTGGCATCCATATTATTTTATTGAAATTTAACCTTATCGTAGGATATCCAACATGTTCACCCAGTCGCCTCAAAGCTTTGGGGTGATTTTCCACTTCCCGCATTAAAATCCCCAAAACCATTCGTAAATCCATAGTCTAAAATGCATCTTAAGAAGCTCCTTTTTAAATTTAATCATATAGGCCCGGAGAACGAAGGTTTGGTGCATATTAGGAAGTATTTCCTCCCAAAAATTTACACTGCCGTAAAAGGCTGAGCATAGGAAAGAGGCAGACCAAATGAGACCTATGCTTTCCGTTTTTTAACAGAAAATATGCAACATTGGTGAGTGTTATTACCTATTTTTGACCGTTTCCCAAGTTTCGGATAAAAGGCAAATTATTTTGCTAAGATTACTTGTTTATGTCTAGAAACAATGTACCAGTTACATTTGACAAATATTAAGATTTTCAAAGAAAAGCATGACAATAAAAGCAGTTACTATCTCTTGAATGATAAAGTAAAATTATGACCAAACGACACTTAAGTTCGCACAACTCAATAATGCAGTTTAACTATTCCCCAAATAGGAAAAATTTGCCTTGTTTATAAGTTACACTTTGTGCGGCTGTAGATTTTGCAAAGTTTGCACTTCCAAATAGGTGGCTTTAAGAAGAGATTTTTAAGAAAGCTATTTTCACTGAAGAAAAAATATTTAGTATTTTTTTTCTTAGGAAGAACTAAAACCTTGGTCTACACCTTAAAATACCTTTAAGGATGAATTCGCGGTGGATTGGGTTTCCATATTTCTGCTTTTACTGTCGCATAATCGAGTTTTAGGAGAAAAGCAGGAAAGAATGCAGCTAAAAAAGCCACTTGAGACCTGCAAGTGATCCACAATTGCGCATATGCACTTTAACGTAAAAATTTTGCGTTCTAGCGAAACAGCGCATGCACTTGCGCAATTGCCAAATCTCAAATCTCACCGTCGGTACAATTCACGGGCCACAAGTGCAGCGCAAAAGGATGGCACTGGTAGACTCAGCATCACATTATAATCCTCAGACAGCTTCTCGCAGCACCAAGATTGTCGAAGTGAAGGATGTATGCGTGGGAGCTGACAGCAAAGTCGAAGCAGAAGATTTCAAAAGAGCTATTCTGTTAGATCACTGGAGGCGACGTCTGCGAGCAAAAGACTTCGTGGATCGCCTTCTAGAGAAGGAGGAGAAAGAAGTGGAGGAGAGGAGAGGGAGGTGTAGAATAATCCCAACTCAGTCCCCTCAACAATCAGCGCCACCACCACCGCCACTACTACAGGCACCATTACGAATGCACTTCGGTGCAAAGATTGAGAACGGTCTGATGACGGAAGATCACTTCTGCTACGGCCATCAAGTGGACGGATCACTCGGCTTCTCTGTGCCAGCTGGAACTTCTGTTTTACCGGCTTCAGCCCCGGTATTGTCGTTTTCTTTGACATCACCCTCGTCCAATAACACGTCTGTCGCCTGGAATTGGCCGTACCTGAATGACCCTACTAAAAGTTTGTACAACTACTACTCTGCTAGCTGAGCTGGAACGATTCGCCATGTAATAAAGCACTCAACCAACAAATTAATAAGTACGTTTGAGGGAAGAGTTAAATATTGTCGACTAAACTCCATACCTACTCTCACGATGTCAAAAAGCGACGAATAATTGTGAAGATAGAAGACTCACAATGTTAGTTCTCCGAAGAACAATAGTTGATGCCAGATGGAAAGTGAGGTTTACATACAAGGTAGAACTTATGAAACATTCTTCTGTAAATAATACAGGTATTAACTTATAAGCTAAAGATCATGACTTCACAAAAAAATTCGGGTTTTAAATGATCGAATTTAAAAAAAAAAACTATTTGAGAGGAATTCCAGAAGAAATTAGCTTCTTTCCAAGTTCGGGTGGATAACACGTCGATTGGTATTTCATTTCCAAATCATGGATTTAAATTTTGGCTTTTAAGTATCGCTCATATTAAATAATTGGCTATGGGATGTGGCTGTTGCTGTACATAGAGATAATGTGGTTACAAAAGTGTTGGGACACAGTGTAAGCGAATAATGCAAGGAAATAGTGTCAGTAATTCTTGAAACGAAGGTTTCTAACTATTCTACACATTGGCCTCCACTAAATCTTCCGCTTTTGAACTTCAGATAATAAGGGAAATGGTATTGGAGAAAAAAATGCACAATCTTTAGCTGGAAAGTTGTACACTTAGAGATCACAGCCTTGCCAACTGTTATGCAGCAAATTTGACAAGAAGCATCCGCAGCCTTATGAATAGGTTGGGTTCTCTCCGTATAGTGGACAAGTTGAAATCACATCCATCAGGTTCATTGAACCGAAACTTTATGGTAAGTGCTGTCCAAGTAGGAGGAAGTCAATGGAGGACACAAAAGTTGGGGGGGGGGTGGCGACTGTAGCAGACAGACTCACGACTCCGCTTTGTGACGCATACAAACATCCACATACACTCTACAAGTCCCACCATGTTATAACAAGTCGTTAAAACGAATTAAATAATAAAATATGTGAATCTTTAGTTAACCAGCTGGTTCATGGCTTTCCATACAAGTTTACGTTAGTAAATCCGCCCTAATTTTTTCCTATAGGAGGCACTTTCAATGAGTGATTTCAGCATCCTCCCTTATAAGCGAAACTGGAAATGGCTGATCACTGGAAGTCACATGCGTAACCTTTCCGTATTGATGGTAAATTAATGGAAGATAAAGCGAACTGCCAAAACCCTAACATCATAATCCTAAGCAGGCAAGTAGGAAATGTAAAACCATCAGATCACCCCAACAACTGAAGGCGATGCTCTAAACCAATCAGACAAGGAGCAGACGGTTCTCCATAAAAAAGATGGAAGATAATTTAATTTAATATTGTATTTTCCTAAAAATAGATTTTGACGTGATTTAAAAGAATAACATTTTGGTTAGAATCCATGGCGATCTTTGTACTGCCACTTTAGCACTTTAGCACTACTTTTGTACTGGCACTTTGGCGTTTAAGCTTTTATAATTGGATTGAAGATTTCGTCCAAAATTGGTAGATATAGAGCACAGAGGAGATAAGAAATACTTTTAACGGAAATTTTGTATGAACAATTGATTGCAAAAGTAGTTTATGTGTTGCACCTGAAAACCGAAAATTCCCCTCGGCTACAAGTAAATACGAGGCCAAATTCACAGTTATGCTTTGTTAACTTTGTGAGAGAACCGAATAAAGTTTTTTTTTTTAAAACAATGAAGGATTGCTGCCTCCAGTGAAGCCGTGTCCATGACCCATTCGTCCAGCAGGCGTGCCATTACCCCACAACACCTCTCCAGGATGAAAAAAATTCTCATTCCGCGTGCCGGCCAGACTTCCTCTTCGTCGAATCTTTTTCAACGCCACGTTTAGCAGATCTACCGCTGCTGCCATATCGGACGATTTTGAGGTTTGAACACCTGCAGTAGAGGCTGCTGATGCTCCTGCTGGCTTTGTAGCTGAGATCATTGGACGACAACTTGGACAGGGAGTTTCATCGGGCTGGCGACATTTGCAGTGGTCGCATTGGCATCCGCAGCCTCCAGCAACGCCACCAACGCCACCAACGCCACCTAGACCTAGCAGTGCTTCCATTGGGGTAAAAAAAATTATGCACACCTGGTGCTTTTTTATGGCTTTTAAACCATCAACGTTTTGCGTAGCTGGCCTTGATACGATTGTACTTTCAAAAGATTGCAAGTCAGAATTAATTTCCTTATTTCTATTCAAAATTCCCGACCTGTACTACCACGTTTCCTCATCTGCACCTTTTATATTTCGTAGATAAAATGTTCAAGCAACCCTTTTGAAATGGGATGAAAGTAGCGCTTTTTAATTAAAAGATAGAGATTGTACTTTTAAAAACTATTTGACCTCATAACTCCGTAGTGTGTTTCGTTTATGATGTAGCCATCTCAGTTCGGCTAACATTTTGAAAGAAATGAGGCTAGAGGTTATAGTGAGAATACTTCTGCTCCTTTCTGTATTATTTTTGCAAGCAGACGCAGGATGTTTTCCATGCCGAAGGCGTAAGGCAAGAGTCAACACCATTGGAACTGCGATGTCAGCAAAGACTTCAGTAAAAGGAGAAGGGGAGCGAATTAGGCAAAATCTGCGGGCGGAAGACTCACCAATGGGGTCCCCAGTTCAAATGGTCGAACAGGCGGTGGAAACGGTGAAAGAGGATGAACTAGAGGAGGAGAGAAGGCGAGAGGCGAGAGGTGGTGCGATACGCATTCTAGCCCAAGTGCTCAACGACTTAACTGAACGTCCACGGTCGTATAGAAGGGAGTATTTTGGTTACTGTGCCATCGTTCAGTGGTCCATCAACCCGACTGTTGACCTTCGAAAGAAGGGTGATAAAGAAAATGGTCAGTTCGGCAGAATGTTATCTATCCTTGCCCTTGGTCAACTTTTTAGACACATAAGTAAATTCAAAGATGCATGACCACAGAGTTTTATGCACAATGTAAATACTTTGTATATTAAATACACCATACTCAACCTTGAATGCGTTTGATATTTTTCTCTAAATATACTGCCTAAACACTTCTTGATCTTAAAATGCGAATGATGATTGTTCCAGATTTCTTGATAGGTAGTAATACTGCTTGGGCTGCCGTAGCTTGAATTCCTTAGTACAAGTGAAGGGTATGTTGTGTGCAAAATATTCACTCTTTCTAGTCCAGATTATCTTTTTCCGTCATTTTTTTAAAATTTTTTCAGAAAACCCACTTCTTTGAATGCCCACTTTGAATGAATGTGAACAAATGTTTCCTGGACTAGCAACTTCATTATTAGTGTTCTTTGAAAAAAAACAAATGCTTGGGGAAAGTAAAAGAACCTTAAACTTCCTTAAAAGCTCTAATCCATCCTTTCCACTCGTCAGAAGTCGTTTAGACGTTGCCATTTTTAATGCATCAACATTTAAAAACATACATTATTTTGGTGATTCCTGCAAAATTATGTAGCAAAATAATGTATTCATATAGGTATGCTTCTAAATTATTAGGTCAAGGAAAAGATTACTTGCTATATCACGCCCTAAACTCTCCAGTATACAAATTTCTCATCGATCATACACATCTTGTAACGTTTGAGGAGGTGATTGTTTCCTTTTGCTGAACGATATATTTGACGCCATGGGGACAATAAATCCGAACCCATTATCGGAACCATAGTTGCTGTAGTCGGCAATTATTTGTTAGCACGCTTAAAGTGACTTCTGTGTGCTTTTAAAAGCTGTTTACAACACAAGCTCTAAAAAGTAAATGATGGCAAAATTTTTCCAAATTTTAATTGGAATCCTCAGCAATGACTTGCTGATGCCGGCGCCTTTAAATGTGTATTAACTCCATAGCATTTGAGTGTTTCAGACTGGACATGTAAAGACTAAGGCCCTTAGTGTTCTGTAATCAGATTTTGCCTAGAGTAGGAAATACAAACATTTGAAAAGAATTTAGATATTTCCTTTTACATATTCTGCTTCTCATGCCGTGCCTTCATATATAGCACTCTGGGCATCTAAAAAGCGTAGTGTAGATCGGTAGTGTACAGATCGGCCAGGCTATTGACATGACCGGAATGTCACGCTACGTGAGAGAAGTACAAGCTAAGAAGATGGAATAGTTTAAAACAATTACTGAATTAGCTAATAGCCCCTTCTGCTTTTGTACATTGTTCCCGGTGTACCTGACGTGGCCTCTTCTATCCCCTTGGTTTTTACTTCTTTCATATAGCGTGTTCTTCTAATTATAGCGAATAGCCACTTTCTTCACATTGATTTACCTTATTAGAGCTTTGCAGCAGGCTAAAGGGGGATTGCACGAGTAGTAGCCATTGTTTCTATTAGTGTATTACAATCTCAAAGTAATTGTTGATGGTTCGATAAAGCAACTCATTATATCAGTTACTTTTGAAGGCGATTTCCAGTTAAAATATGCCTACGTAGTTTTCTATGCCTAAAATATTCATGACAGAAACACTTTGCGAAACAGGAATGGATGTAAAGTATTTGGTATTTATTTGCATAGGAGCGATTCATTTGGGTACCTTACTTAGTGAGGTTAATCATTTTTGTGACTTTGATGTAGCAAAAAATTAGCCATTCAAATTTGCAAGAAATTTGATGATTATAAATAGTAGAAAGTGTCAATTAAGAAGCTTTTATGATAAAAGAGTCAACGACATCTTCGGTAGGATGGATAATAACGAGCATTGTTGTTCTCCTTCTTGATAATTTTATCTGGTGTTTGATTAGTCATACTGAGTTGGTGTAATTCTCTGTATCAAAAAAATACCTTACAAAACCATGGGATCAAATTGCCAATTACAGGTGTAGGACATTGGGTTTTTTTAGCTCTAAGTCTAGGTAAAGAGACCACTTTGGGTTCCCACCATTGCACCTTCGCCAGGTGGGCTAGCCTCTGGGCCACGACAGTAGTCCTGATCCTTTCTGTGTGTCAAATATATACGTTCTGCCTGACTATTATGTCTTCTTTCATTATCACAGAAGTCTTAGGGCTCTACATTAGTGACAGCAGAAAGCATACCTGACTGTAAAAGACGTCTATCTTCATTTCTACTACTGGGTGATATGCTTTAGCGGAGCGGATGAAGCGCGTTCGCTACGGATGGGAGAACTAGCAACGGGCCATACCAGAAGGGCTGAGAATGGCGTTTACCTTCGGCAAATACTCCAGTTCCGTGTTGTGCAGGGATGCATTCACCAACAGAAGCAATTCTAACCATACACCATCTGGATAAGTTACATTACGGATCTGCTACCGCACTTGCGTAATGATATCAATTATACCGCCTCACGATACCTCCATGCCTCTACTAGCCGAATAGAATCTAGATCGGTATGACAAGGTGGCTCTAAAGTGCGAATAGAGTGACAAGGAGAAATAGGAGTGAAATCCTGCCCCTACAGGATCATGTTAAATCCCGTCCTCTGGTTCATGACTGCTTTTTAACCAGTGCTGTGGACATGCATGATGACTGACCCATTCTTTAGTCACAGAATTCAATTCCCAAACAGGACGGTACTCCAGATCCAATGGATCTATGACATTGCGGTCAAGCATCTCCTCAGTTGTAAGGAACTTCGATGACTGGCATAGTTGGTTTGTGACTGTTTTTCTAACAGAACCGATTGCGTTATGATGGCTGACGGGGGAAGTTGACCGAGAAGAGCGCTGAGGATGACGCTTAGAAGGGGGGAGGGCTATGTTATAGGTTGGTTATTTAACTCTTACTTTTGCTAAGGGCTACTTTGGGTCCCTACCATTGCACCTTCGCAAAACAGTTTGGCCTCTGGATCAATTCAGTAGCTACACCCCCTACACTATGTGAAACATGTGTATTCTGTCCGAGTACTATGTCTTCTTCTATCTTCAGGGAGGCCTAAGGGTGCTACACATGCGGATTTATTTATTTAACGCTTTTGACTCGAACAGATAGCAAAGAAGGCTAAAAATGTCTCAAGCTGTCAAAAATGCAAAAAATGTTTGATTTTTTGGCACAGTTGATTAAAATACAACTCAATTAAAGAAAAACAGTTACTTTTTGGTTTAGCTAGCCACAATGACTTGCTTTAATACAAGTTGTAGAAACCCGTAAACTGAATGCATTACAGAGCATTAAAGGATGTTAGGTATTTCATTTATAACTATACTCTTCATTACTTTTTGTTCACTTTATGATCTCATATTATGAAATATTGTTTGAGTCAGAGAGACATGATTTGGGCTTGCCTCCTTTTGGAACTGAGTACAGCACAATTTCCAAGATGTAGTAGCTTTAATTCTATAGGACTGTTTTCAATATTATTAAGCTGGTTAGGTAAACGATCATAACATTGTTTATCACAAACCGCTCACTACCTACCCTACACTTCTAAGCCAAGCGCGATTACAATTGCTTTGAGCATCTGTGTCAGGGGCAAGCAATAGCGGCTGTCTATTTAACCAGTACTAACGGCTAGAACTTGTCCCAGACTGGTCGCTTTATGAAGTTAGGACTAGTCAGCCAGTTGGAAAAGGTGCTATTCCAATAGTTGTGCACGGTACCTCACACCTCGTTCCACAGCAACACTTGCCGGACAGAGATGCTAAATCATCCTCGTCACGTATATTTCTCTGCTCCAGGCTTCACCTTTCCGTAAAATTAGCATTGGATTATTTGATACATACATACCTAACTCCAGAAAATCATTTTTGTTTTATCGTTCGGACAAAAACCCGAAGTCGCCAAAGAACCCAGAGTTTTAAAGGGAGTTTCGAGCCATCACTTTGTCACGTTATTTAAAATCATCAAAATTGAACCGTAAATTGACAATTTCGCACTAGAGGATGCATTGACTAAATTATATTTTAGAAATACATGTAAACTCAGCGACCACACTCGCGGCTGAAGTCGAAAAAGTCGATAATGGAATGAATGGACAAATAATAGTGGTGTACAGAATGGTCCCAAGGCAACATTGTACAGCGAAAGTACAACCAGTGAGGATCCAAGTGCTTGTTTAGCTCAACACACAGCTAAACAAAACATTGCATCACTACACTAATATCCACCACCGCCAATATTGCCGAAAATTAATCAGCGGGATAAGCAATTATGCCTTAAGCCACAATAAACCTAGAACCAACTACGCAATTTTTAACTTTACTTAAAGAATGTTGAGCAAAATACTATTAAGCCGTATTTTTTTCGAATTTCTAAATTTTACGACCTATATATTGTTTGTTATAAGATAGCAGGTTTGAAAAAATTGCTCCTCTTTAATAAAACTCTCCATTGTGTAAAACAGAAATGGGGTTAAAAATAGATAAAAGTTGGGTCAAATCACTTCCCACTCACAGATTCTATGTGTTGTTTTAATGAGCTTACAAAGGACTAAAGGGGAATTTGCGGGACTGTCAACTTTAGGGACATCGAAGATGGCGAGTGTGGGAAGTCGGTTTTTACCTGCGGCTACTAGTACGCCAGCACATGTGTCTGTCGACCCTAGGTTCGTTATTCACTCTTACTCCTTATGCATGTATAGTTGCTGCTGGTGAAATACGTAGTTTTGATGAGTCTAACTCGCCGCTTCTATACTAGATCGAATCTGGACCGTTCTCACGGTTCCGCACGTTCTCGTCGGAAGCGGGAACGGTTACCTCAGCACAGGATAGGTTTGTGCCTTGGATTTTTTTCTGCGTTTTTATTAATGAGAATAGTAATGTGGTGCTTGTATATCGTAGAAACTAGAACAGAGGTTTTGGTTGCTGCTGATCGAAATATGCGGTCTATCAACATGTCCAACCCCAACAACAACAACAACAACAATAATAATAATGCTATCAGTAACAGCAATGCTAAAGGCAAAAAGAGAAGAAATGTATCTAGGTTGATTGCAGCTGAGATCCGGTATCTCCAAAGGACTACTGATCCCCTTTTACGGTATGCGTCCAGGAAATTCCTTGATTGTGGGCGTTGCCTTTCATTTCTACCAAATTATAAGTTAACTGCCTTCAGAAATCAATTATCTGACATGTCAATAACACCAGAGATGTTTTCGTTAAGACCTACTGTGTTACAAAGCAGAAAATCGCGTCAGTCACGTCATATTTCCCTTTTTAGCTAGTTAAATTCAGCGAAATTCTGTCAGCTTGGGGCATACGCTAAATTTGATAGCTCTTGCAATGAGGTATTTGGTCTAAGGCTGCGCTATCCTATTACTTAGTTTATTGGTTCGATGGGTAGAATAAGGCAGGACTAAATGTACAGCGATTAAATGGACTAGGGACGATAATACTCTGGCCAATAACTACTTTCCGCTTTTTTGATCACAGGCGTGCCTCCTTCGCAAGAGTTGTGCGCTCTATAGCTCAAAGGATGGACTTTGAGAATGCGCTCGAAATCCGATGGCAAGCCACAGCACTGGATTGTCTTCAGGAGGCAGCTGAGGCTTTTATCGTGGACTTCTTTTCTTTTGCCGCGAGGGCGGCTGCGCATGCCCACCGTGTAACTGTTATGCTCGCTGATATTCACTTCATCTCGCAGTTCTACCACATGCTTCGTCACTAACTTATCATTCCTCCCCTTTTTTTACCACTTCCTGTCATTTTGTATTGTTTCATGTAAAAATATATGTACATATACTATTGTACCTTTTGTTCCACTATTAATGCGATGTTTTTACACCACCACCACCACCACTGCATCGATCCTTTTGCAGTACTTTTATTGAGCGTTGGAGTAAGTGGACACGATTAGCTTGTTTGCTAGCGCTTTAGACTTGTGCCAATGTGCGGGCTCGATGATTTCCCGTGTGGTTGGAGTCGCGTTGGTTAGTACTGGTTCCCAGCCTTGTCAAATGCCATGGTGTTTCCTTCGGTCAAATCGTTGTTTCAGTTCGATTGGATTTAGTATTCAGGAAACCCATATTTGCGCTCTTAAATGTCTTCTGGAGCCTCTTTTGGTGACATGATCACGGAGCTCCCGTGGAGGTGATCCTCGTGCTCCCATACCGTGTCATTTCCATTCTAGTTTCCATCATGAGCCCTCGTGAGAATTTCCGTCGTGGTGACCTTATTATCATCAGTCCTTACCTGGACATTTGGTCATGAGTTAACCTTGATCATGGGAAATTACGTGCCGCTGTTAGCATGTAGATTCGAGCTTCATCTGTCAGGAGGAACTGTGGCCTGAAAAAAGACCAGAAAGCGCATTTGGGTATTTCATATTCCAATGTTCTAATTTCAGGGATAAAATAACTAACCTGGACTTGAATCATTCTTGCTTACAAACTACTGACACACTACTGACAAGGGGTAAGAACATATTTAGGTTGCAGTGAATTTGATTCAGCTTATGGAGACATGCGGCCGTCTGAGCTACTCTACTGTGAATTACCGTCTCCCATCAGCAATTCACATCCCGTGGAAGCGGGGTGGAGATTATGGTATCAGCATTGATGGCTAATCCGTGGTTCAATCATCCAACGCACACCACACTGAAAACTGACCTGAAGACTAGTCAACAAATTCCTACCATTGGTGGTAGAGTCTGTATCGTCGTCAGAGTGGTGTCATGTGACAACAAAATTATCTTAAGCGCTACTCTACTACTATTCCTATTAACAGATAGTCCATCAAGTTTGGAAGAGCTGGCATTTTTGCAAAACTCGTTGATTTTTCCAAATGGGCAAACTAGCAAGGAGGGCAAATGGGTGAAAAACAGGAAACAAGTCGGAGCACAGAATAGAAAAGGGTCGTTTGTCTAAAGCACGTGTACATACTATGAAAACAAAGTCGTAATCAAGGCTTGCTCTTCCTTTCCTCCTTTCCTTGACCCTTCCTTTATTCTGCCTTTCCTTTCTTCATTCATTTTTTAATGCAATCTTACCTTTTTTTCGATTATCTTTCATACTTTGTTCTGAAACTTGTGGCATGTAGGTTAAAAGAGGCAAAACTTATTGCTGGGACTAGATCGAATAAGGGGAAGATGACAAGGCAGGGCGGTAGGTGTGCGAGATGGAGGAGAACAAGGCAGAAGTAATAGCAATTTTCATGGTAACGTAGGTGAAGTAGCGCAGAAACCGAGTAACGGTGTCTGATGGGCACGTGCAGGTGACCACAATTAATTAACCAATCCTTATTCTAATCAGTGTTTGAGTGTGTTCAGCTTTATTGTTGAATTGGCACACATAGATGTGGAAATTAGTGCGCACAATTCTCTCACCTAACCCGGCTCATGATAACCCAAAGGGGACTGTTCATCTCGTGTAAATGATGCCAAAGAGGTTGGTGATCACTTGTACACGTTTAAGTTGCACTAAGTTGGTGGTTAGTCCCGATTATTTTCTGTCAGGCAAGCTTACCTGTCTAAGTAATTAGTGTGTGCAGTCAATCCTTTAAGGGACCCTAGTGATGTGTTTCAACTCTTCACGTCCCAGTCCAAAAGCCGTTTCACATCGTATGCCATCCTAAAGCAAGCCATCCTCTGTGAACTAGCTGGAGAATGGTGTGGGTTCTTACCGTCCATTATCATACTTTAATTTAGGCAAGAAGCGGCCATTTAAATAGCTGCTTTTAGACCACCTGAAGATGACGTAAAAATCTGCGAATTTTTTATCACTTGTACCGATAGAAGCCAAAACTCCTTCTAACCATGATGGAACTGTCTTAGAGGGCGTCAACAACTTGACCACATTTTGGAATCATTGCCCCTAAGTGTTTTCTAATGCTGCGCATCTTCAAGTGCCCAAAGTCAAATTTGAGCAGTAGCTTCAGTGACTTTCAAGGAGGGCAAAATCATTTTCTTTAAGCAGCATCCAACAACATTTCAGTGCATAAGTTACATAGGAATGTAGAGAATTTGGATGTACCTCAGAAACTCTTTTCTACTTCCTTTCAACGTAAAATAAGCTGACACATTCATCAGCATTCAGTAGTACTAGGCTCGTTTAAAAAGATCGTCCGTATATTGAATTATACCCATTTATACCTCCTCTTTCTTGTAATGAGGGGTTTTCAGTGGATATATTAAACCCTTTAAGAGTGACACGTAATAGGTGTGATCAGGCACAAAGAGTCAATCCAAATAAGATGTGAAGTCATTTCCATGGTTAAGGATATCGAATGTCTCAATAGTAGTGGAAGGCCCCTTTTCCCTCACCCATACAACGAATGTCATCGACGAATTGGGTTATTCATTACAATCACAGGGACAGGACAACTCGAGGCGAAGGAGGCCAAGTTAAAATGAATGCCACACAAGCGGGAAAGGTCTATCCTTCACCTTCTTCCATTATTTCTAGTAATTTGTCAGTACTAGGGATGTCTGCAAGCCCAAAAAATACGTTTTATTTCATTTTTTTTCAGAACTTTTAATTAATTGCTAATCTGCAAACATTCTGGCGAGTGGTGCTCTTTCTCACTCCTATCTGATCGGCCCACATCCAGCAGAGGTGCACCCTATTGCTACTGATTTCTACTCGGGCAGTCGCCATAAATACTTGCAACTGAGAGCACCAAGAGGCACCTCAGAGTCTATTCAGACGTCGTCCTATTTGCCTGCAGTCACTGCTCTAAATCCATCAAACCCGAACACGCTGGCCATACCTCCCTGGCCCACTCACTACGTCGACCACTAAAGATGTTCGCTCTGAAGCCTTCAGCCATCACCTGTCTGGGTTGTGTCTCGATACCATCTGAGAACTGCTACATGAAAGTGGCAATCCTGTCTATAACAGCGAGAACGCAGAACAAGGTATTCCTAAAAGAACTAGACAGTACAATTCTCCGTCAACGAACTTAATGGAAGTCTAATACTTTAGTTGGTGCAATTTGGACAAATTCAAGCCAAGTTATTTGAAATTCCACTGCAGAAAATCATCATCCAAGCCACAGCAGCGTCGCAGCAAAAGTGCCATTCTGTTGACTTCGTGGTAAAAAGTAACACGGTGCTTCATTGTGATCCAGAAGCCAACGTCACATGTGATTCATGATTCGAACGGCAGTAGAACACTCTCGATGAGAGAGTGAAGTCCATGCAAAAAACCACGGTGGGCGGAAGGCATTTAATTTGCAATACATGTGCTTGAAGTTGATGATTCCCAGACCTGTGTGAGACCGCTGGTGGCAAGCATTTCAATACGAAGGTCTTTACTGATGACCGGTTCAAATCGACCATCTTGAAATGCATGCTTCACCCGCCCAAATTAGCAGACATTCGATGCATCTGCTAGACCACCTCGAACGGGTGCCAAATATCAAGCTAGCTGCAGTTGCAGAGAACTTCAGTCTCGCATCGATCTGCAGCACGACATCGCTTTGATTCAGTTTCAGGGCAAAGACAACGAGGAGTCCGGGAATGCATGAACTTCTCGGGGACCATGTATCCAAATTCAACCAGCCATCCAAGCGAATTGACCAGCAATGCAACCAGGCCAAGTGACCGATCAACCAAACAAACCAACGAAGCAATCAGTACAGTTAATTAACCAAATACCCCTAGTTGTTAATTAGCAAACCATTCCAAATAACAAGCCGGCTGAATTTACTATCCAACCAACCAGCCGAATCAATTAACCAACCAAGCAAACTGGGAACTTAGCCTAAAAAGCTAACCAATTGACCCACCTAAACAAGTAACCACCTAGCTAAACAACCAACAAAATAGTTCAACAAACAGATCAGAAGCCAAACAAAACTCAGCTAAATTGAACAAACCAACCAAATTACCCAATTAACCAACATAAGTGGCCAAACAACCAACCAGCGCAGCACCCAACAACCTCGAAGATCTAGTCAACCAATCACACATACCAGCTAGTCAATCAATCAACCAACTTGACCAATTACATGGTCAAAAGGTTTAAAGCTGACCAATTAGAGTAACAAAGTCGCCGACCATCCCATCTAACCAGCGGAAAAAAAGTAATCAATAGCCAACCAAAACAATTAATCACTCGATCCACTAACCAATTAATCGAATAACAAACCAACTAATCAATCCAAACCAATAAGGCAAAAAATAACAGACCAATAAACATACCCAATTAAGCAAACATCTAACTAAACTAATCAATAACTATTAAACTAGTCATTTTACTCAATTCATTTACCAAGTCAATTATTCCTACTTGTATTTGAATATCCATCATGGATACATCCCCAAAATAGGTGACTAAAACAGGTATGTAGATCGTTAAATATTTGGTCGGTATAACATGAGAATAATAAAACTCTAAAACACGAAGAGGATTGCCAGATAAAGAAGTCAATGAACAAGAACGATCGTTAGATGATTCACTGTATTAACGAATATAGGTATAGTTGTGGAATTCGTGAAGGCATGTTTAAATAGTATATTTCGATGGGATGTATAAAAGTGTCGCATATGAAGGGAATGAGGAATAAGTGATATCGCTAGAGCATTAATTTATTCTTCACACAACCCAAAGTTTAACGCACAGGAACTAACGTGAAATGCACAAATTAACTGATAAGCAAATGGCTACAAAAATGCGTTGTTTGGTAACTCATGCTACGTTAGCTGTTTGAGAGGCGGATCTGGAATAGGATCACCGTATCTCGGTAGGGTAGGCTGACCTCTGGGCCATGTCAGTAGCTTCAGCCATACTGTACGTAGTATATGCATATTAGGTCTGAGTAGCGTGTCTTATCTTGTCTTCAAAGGTGTAACAAACTCGTCAAAAAAAAAATAACTGGTAAAAAACCGAAACCCGTAAAGGATTTATCAATTGGTAGTTTAAAAGAAAAGAATACGGGCATCGTCAAAAAACTGTTTGAATTGTCACATAAATGAGTGAAGCAAGACTACGAAGATGCATGATTAAATTGGACAATTAATCCTATATGCATGAAGAAATGGTCGGTTCGATGAGTAAATGAAATGGATATAAGACATCAGAGGAGTGTTTAAATTACCCTATGATGGATGAATCTTGCATATTGAAAGAGAGGTTTGCCTTATCAATTATTCTGGGGTGCAAAAAAGTATGATTAAATGGGTAAGTAGTGGTAGAACTATGCAGACCGTCAGATGAGTAAGTGTATCAAAACGTTTGAATAAGTCTAAAATACGAGAGGAGACGTTTGAATTAAGAGCAACTATGACACTCATAGAATTATTGCAGATATGTAAGTGAATGGTAAGAGTTGATAGATCGTTAAATGACTGGCTTAATCGACATTTGGTTTAAGAAATGTGGAATGCAGAGATGGATGACTAAACGTAGGAAATGAATAAATGGTCATGTGGCTGGTTAGAATTAACAAAATGTAAAGTAAAACTTTTGTAAAACCACGAATTGATGTAAATTGCATAAAAAAGCAAAAAATTAATAAATATGTAGCTTTGATTAACAAACTGACGAATGACTGAAAACGAAGCAAAAACTGAATCTCGAATACAAATAGATAAATGAGTGCATAAATAAACCTTAAATGAGAAAATGAACTTGGATTACAGGAGAAAATTACCAGATGGATCAGAATATAGCATCGACAAAAGTACAAAAGTGGTTTTTATGATTAACTAATGTCGAATGAAGCCTGAATATGAGAGTGGATGATTAAATATGTGTTCATGATGCACAAAAAGTTATGAACTGAATAAAAAAAATTTGTAAATCGTTAGACGATTGCCTAAATTAGTGTGTGAAACAAACAAACTTAGGATACGAGAAGAAATGTTACTGGATCTGAAATGCATAATTGCATGATAAACATAGAAGTGAACAAAAAATTAATGTTTCGCCACATGATTTAGTATATCAACATTTAAAACAACAACATGAAGTACATTTCATTGTAGCGTCCCGAGATTCCCTTAGGACCAAAGAAGACACAATACTCGAGCAGAATACATATATTCAGCACGGAGAAGGTGTCCGGGCTATTGGCATGGCCCAAAAGGCCAGCCCACCTAGCGAGGTACAAGGGGGCTAATTCAAAGACGAAAGTGGCGCCTCACCAGAACCGAGGGACAAACCACTATCGTATTACAGTATGATGATTGATTGATAAAAGACTCTAAAATGCATGAAGTGGATGTACAAAAGTAAATGTATTACTCAATTTGTATTTGACTGATTTTGTAGCACGGAAAGCAATAATTAAATTAAAGTTATTATTACTTCAGGATTTCATTTGACCAATGCTACCCTAAACGAGCAATAGAATGATTGAGCTGGAATACTATTAGCCCCTGTGTTGCTTATTAGGAATGAAACACTATGACGCAGTCTTTTATTAGAGTATTTTTATTGTGCAGGCAGATTTTGTAGACTCTGCGATCATTAGCGTCGGTGACATGGATCGAAAATCTTCACAGCCTCCATCGATACTTAAGCAGCGATTTTCATTTCTCACAAGAAGGGATTTTTTAGGGGGATTATGAGTAGATAAATTGTTTGCAAAAGTTTGCTCAAAACCTCATATTGATCCACGGAATGACAAAAGCAATTATAAGTTATGCCAATGCGGATCACAGATCGAGGAGTGTATAAATAAGTGAAATACTTTTCATGTTCCCTCATTAAGTTTCATATTAGGCAAATAATTCTGAGAAGTATGTTATGGAATTAGTAAAGAAGACAGGATCAGCAGCAATGCGCTACAGCAACGGTTGAATTCGATGTTGTGTGGTAGGTTCAGCGTTTAGCACTTCCTCACCTTTCGGAACATATTTACTATTTACTAATACATTTAGTGCTACTGTGGATGTCCATTGGAACCTACCACTCTTCGTTAACGAGACACAGGAATGAGACTGTCTCGAAAAGTAAACAAACGAACATGCAAACGAACAGGAAGCAAAGGACCAAACTGAGGTGGTCCTGACAGCCTTTGTTTCTGCACCGCTTCCATGTACTAACAGGGTGTTCCTTTTCCTCTGTTATGATCTAACACTAGCAGCAAGCAATAGAGTAGCAGTGGTCATTTGGAAGGGATTTATCAAAAAAATACAGCAGACGGAGATGAAGTTTAGGCAAAGGATGAGGATAGGGATGATCCCACCCTTTCTACCGTACAGATGTTCGCAGGGCTAAGGTTTGCTGCGATATAAAATCTTATGCCTTTTGCTAACTTGTAAAAAGGTATTTTCTTCTAACTGATTCACTGTTACCGTTGTTTAAGAAGCATTTTTTTTGCATGCGTTCCCGTTGTACAGTATCGAATGAATAGGTTTCAAGCGAACAATTTAAAAAAATCTCAAAGCCAGTGCGTATTATAAAGCATAAGTAAAAAGGAAAAGGAAAAAGAGTATCCTTTAAGCCTATTTTTATCTACCAGTGCACAGCGTATGGGTGGTACTTATTTGTGTAAATGCTACAAATTCACCTTTCCTGTTGATTGGGGTGTAAGCACACCCGTTATCACTGGGGCTGATCAACGTTTTGGTCAAGTTATTCTTTTCCCTTAGAAAGACGAAATTCCATATCACAAAGCAATGTAGAGCTTTGTTAATCTTGATGGGACACTTAACTTCTTAGACGTTTGGATGCTGCCAATGTATGTGGCAAAGCCGGCTGCGCAAGTGCCTCTGTGACTGCATGTTGGTGACGATCACCGGAATGGTGGTTCCCAACCTACTATCGCTACAAACATCGCCACATTATTGTAACATGCAAACATTCAGCCAGGGAATGCAACATCTAAGCCTGGTCGCCTGATTGACGCGCAACCAGTAATATTTATAAGTTTACGAAGAGAGGAAATCTTCAATGAGTATGTTGAAAACGATCACTAACAGATACTGGACAATTCATCCCAATCTCAGTCATTTAATATCATTGAAAAGTTTAAATGCTCTATATATTTCGCAACACCGGAACTTTTAAAATCCTTACTTCTGCACTTTTATAACTATGCTAACAAATGTGGTAGAGACTACACCATTTAGAAATTTGGTTTACAGACCGCCAACAGCAAGATTATACAAATTAGTACAAGATGAGTAAATGGTGGCTTATATTAGAAAAAAAGAAATATTCCCTGAAAACCAGCTGATTATCTGCACAAATAGCAGTCACATCTTAAAAGGTAGAAGTCCCTACCTTCGCTAAGTTAAATCTTCATTTGTTATTTTCCCATGTCTGAAACCTAGGCAGTTTATTCACACGTTTAATCGCGATAATCCACAAGGTGATTGTACTTGCAAGGGATCTGCTTTGACAGCAACACTAAATTAACAAAAGATGCTATGCTACATAATAAGGTAAGAGCATTCGAATTTACCCAAAATCCTGGGTGCTTTGGCACATCAAATGGCTAATGGCAATCATGTTATGTAGAGGTGCCGCAACACTTTACTGTATTATGTGAATTGTTTGTCTAACTCTTGGTTTCGGTAAGGGGCCACAATGGGGCTCCACCATTGTACCTTTGCCTAGCGGTCTATCGTCTGCGTCAAGTCTCAAGGCCTATCGCATGTGGGATGTAGATATTCAGCCTGAGTATAATGCCTTTTAGTCTGCAAAGAAATCTCAAGGACCTACATTGGTGGCATTTAAAGCAAACCCTATCTTAAAGGATAACATTCCTGATTTCTATGGCTGGATGATAGACCTTAGTGCGATAAATAAAATTTTGATGCTGCTACAAAATTTGGAAATTTAGTAGCTACATTTGGCAACTAACCTAGACCCAAGTTCTGTAAGAAATTATTAACAGTGGAACCGGCACTAGCCGTAAAACATCTGAAAAGTTTATTACGGAGCTTTTACCATTTCTGCATTATGAGGACGCGCGATACCTCCTCCACCTTCTCTACTATCTGGGTAGAACACAGATGGACATGGAAGAGCAGCACTGAAGTGAGAACAAAGTGGGAAGGTGACACTTAAGACACCATGTTAATTCCATCTTTCCTTATGTGACTTTACTCTTAGGTTAATGCCCCTACGACGAGTGGTGGACAGGCGTGATGTTAGACGTGCACATTAGCATTCCCAATGCAGTTACTTTAAGGGATGAAACCCCAGTTCAAGTGAACTAGCCATCTGGGATCCTTCACATTATTTACATTACTATGTGATACGATGGTTGTTCATCCCTTGGTATTGGTGAGGCATCACTTTTGGACTTTTGAATATGTCTTCCTGTACCACGTTGAGTGGGCTGATCTTCGGGCCGTGTCAGTAGCCCAAACACTTTCTCTGTGCTGAATATATATATTCTGCCCGAGTATTGTGCCTTCTTTCGTCTTCAGGGAAGTCTCTGGATGCTACAACTATTTCGGGGTATGGAACACTACACAATGCATATTGTTAAATACAATTATTAATAGGCTAAGTGCATCATAATTTCCATTTTTGATTAAGTAATTTCGATATTTAAGGCAAATGGGAAGCCTATTAACCAAGAAAAAGTGGGCATCACAATGACTGTAAAGCGAATGTTTTGTTTAATTGCATGCGTTGATAACCCGGAATTTAATATTAATTTATTAAAATGAGATAAAATAAAGTGAAAAAGCAAATGTGTACTTCTGCGGAGGGCACTTAACAATAACGCAAGTTTAGTTAGTGCAGAAATTGCAAATTAGGTGGCGTATAAATATCAACAGCTTTAGAAATCACTAATCAAATCAACTCCGTCACTTGTTTGCAGAATTATGCTCTAATTGATTAAGTATCTGTCGAGCGAACCAAAGTTTAAGATTTTAATATTTTTACCTTTTTTACGACATTATCAAGTTTTGCAATTATTAGACATTTTAAAGCAATTTGTTATACTTACCCAAGTGACTGAACTCCCGAGTACGGTGCCTTATCAAATTATTCCGGTGAGTGCGTCATCTTGGTCTGTAACTATCGGATTGACGTTTGTTAATCCATTCTGCACACCTAAACTTTTTGTTTTTTATTTTAAGCATAGTTTTGGGTCTGCTCGTAGCATTCAGGTAGGGTCAACAATGTCTACATAATCTCAGTTTGTGTACGCCTCTCACTTAGTCATTTACAGTTCTTTACAAGGTAAAATGGGAATTTTTTGAGATAATAAACAAAATAATGATTAGTGAATGTGTTTTTCTTATGTAAATTTTTTAAGAACTTTATAAGCATTGCAACACTAGATTGAGCAAAATTTCCCATGCAACAAGTTTGGTGTAAAATACTTAAGTTTCAGTTTTGGTGTGTTTTTAAAAGGCGAAATAATATTGTATTTTTAGAATTGTTTTTGATTAAATTAGGTAAATTGGATGAATATTCGAGCAAGTCAGGAAATACCTACCCCAATCCGCAACATTGAACTACGCATGCCAGACCAGTTCAACAGATTAAATGTAAGAACAACTGAAAATGGTCAAAATAGTGGTGATTCAAACAAGTATGTAAATTTCAACAATCCGCACAAAGTTTCTCACGAGGTGCAAGCCCAAAATAATCACGCGAATTTGCAACTGTGCCATCAGCACAAAGATTCCAAAATCGTTGATGAGAAAGAACGCAAAGACCTTCTAAAATTCGGAGACATGGTAAAAAATCGGTGGCGCATATCGTATAAAATTGGTGGTGGTGGATTCGGTGAAATTTACCAGGCTCTTGACACACAGGTTAGTGATCCAATATTTTAATATTAGAGAGAGGCAAACTTCCTAATTCCTCAAAGTTCTAATAATATGCTTTAGATGGATCCAGAAAAGATAGGTCAAGGTGATCCTGACCTTACAGATCTCTGCTCTTCCTGTTCTATCAAAGGTGGCAATTATATCCAACGTCACACTAGCGCAATTGCCATGACTCCGAGTGAGTCGGACTTACGTCGACACCATTGTTCAAGATGTGGACGTGAATTCTTCTCACCCTCCGCCACCTTCATTAGAAGGGCAGGAATTCAGCGTAAATTTAGCGAGGACGGCCTTGAGTCTGCGGACTCGGGGAACTCCTCGGGTCATTCTGAGCGTGGATCGGTGCCGGATAACTACGTTGTCGCTGTGAAGGCGGAGTCAAATACTCAGTCTAAACAGATGCTCCATATGGAGGTGGCAGTCTTACGAAGGTTAAAGGGCAAAAAGAACTTTTGCGACCTCATAACTTGTGGTAAAACTCAGCGAATCAACTACATTGTCATGACACTTCAGGTAGAGCTTCTTTGCATCTTAAAATTGCTCTTCATCTCTTGCTTAACTTTTGATGTTGTGACTTAATGACCTGTTGAAAAATAATGGACGTGTTTAGTAGGAATGCGTAAATTTTTGGCAAAGGTTTAAAGGGTTTTCTTCAACCGCGGTTGTTATTCTATCTAAATTTAATTCCCGTTTAAACCTTTTTGATTTAACTATGGTCCGCTTACCTTTTCAAGAATTAGCTTTTCATCTAGGTTTGGATAGAAGTGCATAGGCTTCTGTTAATGGTAAATCCACATTTTTAAAAATCCAAGGGAAAACTGTTCCACGATAATTGTCGACTGTTTTTATTTGAGTCTCATCAATACTAGCGTATGTCGTATGTCAAGTTCAATGCCGAGTCTATGCTAGTTCAAATGCTTTGTTTCTGCCTATAAATTCAAAAGTTATTTTTGGACCATAATGGTTATGTATTCCAGGTAATTTCATTGCTAAATTGAAAACTAAAGTTGTTGGCCTTAGCGGAATTCGATTGGTAACGCAACTCAATTTTCGGACAAAAGTTGTCACAACAAGAACGTGGAATAGCATAATTTTTACAAATTGTTCCTTGTTATAATTTACAAGAAGTTAATGGCTTTGAACCATAAGTCATCACTCACTTCAATAAAAACAAAATGCTTACTTCTATCAACCAGAGCATTAATTTAACGATACCTTGGTCCCGACTTTTAACCTTTGGTTTAATTTAACTTGGAATTATGAACTTCCTTGAAGCGACAATAACGTTGCCTTTCATCAAATTGACCTATCGGTAATTCTGTAGGAGTCTACCCATATCTAGTTGATCGAACTGGAAATTCCAGAGACTTAAGCACCATTTCAAGTCCAATCGTATGTCATCGTCGCTTAAGTACTAACGAAATACCTTACGTCATCAAAATGCGTAATTATTTGAAAGTAATTCGCATTGTATTTAATCACATTTAGAGTGTTATCAATTTTCTTCAGGAGGATTTGAAGTTAAGAAACATAATGCACGTTGCATAATTCCTAAGTTACATTCTTTCTCAAGTGCTTTTTAGTCTTTCATTTTCATCTCCCGTACATTGGGCGCTCTCTCATCCGATGTACTCTAAGACTCAGGTTGGATTTTTGTCTCGCCATGTCTTCGAATAAACTGATTACTCGTACAACTACGCATTTTTTTTCTTACTTTGGCATTAAAAATTATCTCTGTAATGGGGATGCCTCTTGTGTATCGACTAAACTCTTACAACTAGAGCTGAGCCTTAGGGCTGAGTTTTGTGCACAACTTTATGCCTCATCCTGGCAACCTAATATGTGTATGCGCATACGCTTGTTTATGAGAAGAAGGGCTCTACCTCTTTTTCCTTCTCAGCTCAATTGGTGAAGGATTTTCGCAGTCGATGGCTACAGGGCACTTTCTCTACCTCCACTTCTTCTCTTAAAACTCATTCGCCCGTAGACATTACTTTGGAGATAGAAATGATTAGGGAACTGTTCACATCGAAGCAATTTAGAATGTGAAGGCAGTACTATTGCAATGCTAGATCGCTTTCTGCTAAATCGAATGCAACAACTGAGGTATCATTGAAGGTGGCATGAAGTACCCGAGTGAGAAAGATGCTGTTATAAGTACAGAGAAGGATAAAATGAATTACACACCGTAGATGGCATGAGCGGAACCCTATTCTCCAGCTTGGGAGAATTAAAACTATCCCTTTGCCACGTGGTCCCATCTTCGCTTAAGCATCAACCTTGGTATTTCTAGAAATCGTTCTTTTGCTTTGATTATTACAAATGCTTGAATGAAGTAAAATCTGTTGCAAGGCAGGACTCCCCATTCTGGCAGTAGTGAAGGTAATAGTGGATTTCAGAGGATTTCCCGTCTCCTGCTAATTGATGTAATATTGATATTCACCACTTTAATAACAGCAGTCCTAATTTAAAAAAATATCTTACAAAAAATTATTGGAAATTAGGGTTTGTACTAAAATGTAAAAGCACGAAATCAACCTGATCTCTTTTGACCGCAACTCTAAACAAATGCCGTAAACATCTCCGTGCTAGACATGTAACTTTACTCACTTCTCAATGCAAAATAAATGATTTTGAGGCGATTTATTGTGAGTAATAAATTGCATACAGAGCCAAGGTTTAGTATTGTTTCTTGTTGACGACAAGTCTTCGTCAATTCTTAAGTAATCGGTGCTATTGACACGCATTTTGGTATTCATGGTTGAGCGAGAGTTTTTTTAGCCCAGTCCCTCATGTTAAGTCATTTTGCCTGCATTTTTCACTATCACCACAGAGTATATATTCAATTCTGTTTTTCTGTGTAATTTTTTAGGGTAAAAACCTCAGCGACCTACGCAAAAAGGCACCTAATCGATCTTTCAGTCATTCTACCTCCCTACGCATAATCTGCAAGTGTTTAGATGCATTAGAAGAACTTCATAACATTGGTTACCTCCATCGTGATATAAAGCCATCGAATTTCTGCCTTCGTCGGGATGATCCCATGGAGATCTGCCTCCTTGACTTCGGTCTTGTTCGCCCCTTCATAAGACCTGGCACTACCAATCAAGTACGTCCTCCACGACCTTCAGCTGGTTTCCGCGGCACAGTCCGCTACGCCTCCATCAACGCCCACGAATATCGTGAGCTTGGAAGGCATGATGATCTCTGGTCCATGTACTACATGTTGGTGGAGTTTCTCAGAGGTGAACTACCCTGGCAACGAAAAAGCGGAAAGAATTTAGTAAAGCAGATGAAATTAGAAACTGAACCGGTGAACTTAGGAAAGGAAAGTGGTCTTCCACCAATCATAGCTACTACCTGGGTCCATGAGTTGAAGAGCTTGAATTACTTTTTGAAGCCGAATTATCGAGAGTTAAGAAGAGTGATTGAGGTATGGCTTTTGGAAAATAGGATGGAGTGGAATGATCCCTACGATTGGCAGAAGCAGTCTATGGTGCGTGCAGAGAGTGATGTCACCTTCACACCGTTGTTTAAGCGAAATCAAGTCTCCGGACGCCAGTTTGTGCAGAATATAAAGCGTCCAGTTCACCACGACTCCACTGGATGCCTCAGACGTCTAGACAGACGCGGGTTCGGTTCCACAGGGGAGTTGAAACGATTTGATACAGAAGAAGCGGAGGGTGGAACAACGGCTCTTGGTGGCAAGAGCACAGCAGCAGTGTGCGAGGATGCAACAACGAACAAGAATATGGCGACAGAGAAGATAATGCAGGAGGATGGACATGAAAATTTTGAGGACGCTTCCGAGAAGATGGATGGGAAAGAGAAAATACTGGGCAGTCATAGTGATTTACACGTTAGTGGCGATGAGCAACGAAAGGCGACGGAAAACGCCGATCGGCAATTTCTCGCCAATTCAAAAGGCCTAGGTAAGCTAACTCTGCCTTTTAAAGTGCATTTAAAACCGTCTTTCTTCCTGCTACCATTCGCCCTACTCCAATTCCACCTTCTCTTACTTTGTTTTTATTCGTCGTCTTCCTCTCTCTAAACTACTTTGTTTTGCATCCCCACTCTCCCTCCCCTCTGTCTCAGTATGATGCCAGCCGGTGACATCTAGCAAACCGACCGTAATTCGAGGTGTCAACACATCCTCGCCTGCTTAGATTCAAAATAATAAAAGTGCCCAACCCGCCGTCTGTCATCTTCCATCGTAAGGTAGTGAAAAAGTTGAACATCATTCCCATCCATATTTAATCAAACGCTTTTCTACTTCACTTTTATTTTTCCCCTCTTCGTTTCATCGTCGCGAATCACTAAGTTTTTCACTCTGCCGCCCTTAAAACATCAACATGGGATGGCGCCAGAAAATCTTTCCCTTTAATATGCTTTCTTTGAGTGCTACTTAGGGAGGATGTTAGTAGCGAGGAGGGACAGAGAGAGAGGAGAGTAGAATAGGACGGAAAGTTGCTTCGATTAATAATACTACAAGCAAGTCCCCACCTGTCTACTTGAATGCTTTTTAGACACGGAAAAGCAGGGAGCCAACACCAACCTACGCCAAAAATTCTTGTCTGTCATCACACTGGGGCGCAAAAAACCTGGCAGTAAGGTTTCACTCGCTTGAAGCCAACAGTAGGCCTAGACGATCAAGATGACAACAACAACAGCAACATTAGCACTACAATTAGCAACATTAGCATAACATTGGTAGCTTTCTGTTTATCATCAACACCCATCCCCATTTCTTGCTTCTTCCCATGCCTGCGAAATTTAACCCATCCTTCTCCAAGATTGACCCGGTGTTGAAACTATCTATGTATGTTTGTGTGGGTTAACTAGGACAATAGAAAGGAGGCTTATTAACAACTGCTCTCAAAATCTCTACCATCTATCATTTCATTATTTGTACATGTTTGCCTTATTCCCACAACACGTTAGGTCAGTTCGCTGGGGCAATTCTGCATACTAACTTCCTCACTTGTGGGTCCCCGCATGTCGACGCGTTTGAACACATCCAAACGTTGTTTGGTTGGCTGATTGACTGATGCAAGTTTACCAACTGATATGTTTGTTGTGGGTTGTAGCTCGCAGAACGGACAGGCCTAGGAAGTAGGCGAGCATCCCCTCCCGATTATCTGCGCCTCGATTCAACATAATTCGTATCCACTCTCATCCACCCATCAGTCTATTCATCTATCTCCACCTATCAATCCACATTCTTACACACACACACAGATATGCATTCAAAGAGCCAAAATGGGATCCTATCATATTGAGGAGTACATAAAAAATGAATACGTCTGCCCTACTTCATCTCTGCTGCGATAGCGATTGTTGCTGATTTCTCCTCCTCCTCCTCCTCCTCCTACTCATCCTCCCCGCCTCTTTCTTCAACTTATTCTTCTTTTCTTTCATATTCTCTGCCTCCAAACTTTCCCTGTTACCTCCTCTGCATCTTTTATCCAGTCTACACCACTTTTTTTCCGACAGTTACGTTTACTACTTGAAACCCACACTCCAAGTGTCCTTTTTTACCTAAAACAGAACAGAGAATGGAACGTAGGTGAGAGAAAGGGCAAGCCTTGATTATGACTTTGTTTTTATAGTATGTACACGTGCTTTAGACAAACGACCTTTTTCTATTCTGTGCTCCGACTTGTTTCCTGTTTTTCACCCATTTGCCCTCCTTGCTAGTTTGCCCATTTGGAAAAATCAATGAGTTTTGCAAAAATGCCAGCTCTTCCAAACTTGATGGACTATCTGTTAATAGGAATAGTAGTAGAGTAGCGCTTAAGATAATTTTGTTGTCACATGACACCACTCTGACGACGATACAGACTCTACCACCAATGGTAGGAATTTGTTGACTAGTCTTCAGGTCAGTTTTCAGTGTGGTGTGCGTTGGATGATTGAATCATGGATTAGCCATCAATGCTAATACCATAATCTCCACTCCGCTTCCACAGGGTGTGAATTGTTGGTGGGAGACAGTAATTCACAGTAGAGTAGCTCAGACGGCCGCATGTCTCCATAAGCTGAACCGTAGAATGTGTGCTGGCCTGCATACAGTTTCACTGACACCCTAATATGCTCATGTCACTTGTAGTTCAGGCTAATTGCAATAATGCTATTTTTTGACGGATGGAAGCATAAAGTATTTACTGCAATGAATATCATTTTATCGGCATGGTAACGTGATTAACATATGGGATGAATAGTGTGTAATAATCATTACAACCGAATCTCGAAATATTAAATGACACAACCCCTATGGGCTGCATGATTCCGCACATTATTAGTCAACCTGAATGATGCATCTTTCTAATTTTGAATAAGTTATACTTTTAATGGATGAAATAAGAATAGTTTTTAACATACTTACCATGTGACTGATATTTTTTGCTCACTCACACCCGGATAGATAAATGGAGGAAGTTCTAGATCAAGTTTATATTCAAAGCAACATATTTTGTTAGTTATATTTCAAAAAATCTGAAACATACGTAATCTACTCCATGTCTTAATAGGATTTTAACATTTATTTTTTCGTCAGTAGCTTTAACAGCCGTGTCACCGGATCTTTTTCATCATAAGCGATAACAATTTAATGCGTTTTATAAGAGGGTTAAACCGTGTTTAGGTGAGTCACGAACGAGCACTTCTGGGTGCACACAGTTAAGAAATGAATTCAAGGAGTAGAAAATAGATTTCTTTATCCACATGGTTCTCGCTTACATATAAAACAGCCCACACTTTAATTAAGAGTTTAAAAATTCACCATAGAAATGTTCTAGTACAAATGAATTATCGAAGAGTTCGCGCCACTTCGCCATTGGTACGAAAAGCTATTTTGCTATCCAGCGTGCACTGAACACTCCACTACGAAAGTCTTTATCTTCTAAGCAACTTTACTGTCCGACAGGCAGGGTGTCGATAAGGTTTCCAGCATTGGGTTTTGCGCATGCTGAGTATTTTTAGGGGTGATTACTGAGTCTATGGCCTAGAACCGTTGAAAACCGATACAATTGTCATTGTCATATCCTCGAGCGTCTTATTATTGAACTTACTGGCATGAGGTCCTCATTAGGTGCCAGTTACAAGTAGTTGTTTACATGCTCTGATTGTATGCCCTGATTGTTGCTGGCTTTCAACTTGATTAATGGTGCTCGGTCCAGTCCAATCAACGACACATACCTTGACTACCAAAAGTAGTAGTGGAATACAGCAAACAGTTACTAGCACGGTCACGGTAGCATGCCTTTTTGCGGAAGTTCCGGTTTAGCTTGGATGTTTTTTAGATCTATTGGCGAGGACACTAAATCCGAGGTATCACTTTTGCGACCCGCTTAAACTCCTGTGCTCCAGTCGCCATACTCATAAATGGAGCCTATTTAGTAAAGTTTATTCATCATATGCATTTGTATCAGTAATTAATAGTGTGCGATAGCATTGCTCCTGTTTGCACTAAATAAAACCGGTATAATATTCAATAAACTTGGCATGATTTATAGGCAAAATCTTAGTACTGACACTTTTCCGCCTTTGCTTATGGCTCACTATTGTTTTGCCGAAACAAAAAGTGGTCTGCATCAAGCACAATAAGAGATATGGCAATTTGACGCGAGACATGCTGAATGAGTATGGCACCTGTCATGATTGGCATGAATACTTTAAGATAAAGCATTTAATTTCCGGTACCCAAAAGTAGAGTGAAGCCTAGACAAAGAAAAGGCTTTCATTAGCACAATTTATAATCAATGGCTTGGGGAACATTTCAGAAAAGTGTGGCAAATCTACTTAACCAAGCCTTTGTAACTGACTTAGTCTTTTCTAATTAAAAGTTAAGGTCCATATTCATGGGATGCCATCCCGATTTTAGGCAAATTCACTTTGATAGTCACGATCAGCAAATATCAAGACTCGTCCGTTTGAAGCGTTTACCTTAATAAATGCTGTATTTGTTTACTAAAAAACTATGTAGTCCACAAAAAATAACAGTGCTTTGGCAAGCGACTTTTAACATCGTGTCGTATGCTGGCAGCCTAATAAATACCTTTACTTCGCATTTTACCCAAATCCTTGTTTCGTATGATTTCCAGTGTAACTAGCGGCAGCTTTTAGGCATTTTGAAATGTTACAGTTTATCTTCATTATTAAGAATATGAAAATCTGTGTCAGTCTGTCTGTACAGCATCCATCATTTTGCTCCCATCCACATGCTTTGAACCCACTCACTCACATCTTACGGTCTCGGTCAAACCTACCTAATCTGTGTATTTTGAGCTTGCCTAAAATTCAAAGCGAGTTTAATTTGGCTTCAAAACTATAAAAGTCACCAGCATAATGCTTCATGTGGCATCAAGACAACGCATTGTCAAGGAAACAGATGGATTCCTGTCAGGAATCGCTCAAATATGCATTGCGTTCAGGAAGGATAACTACTTATGCACATAAAAACCTACGAGATTTATGATGGCAAATAACCCATGCATTCCAGCATTCATTAAACCATGTAACAAACCATTACTTACCCCCAAATTTCCCAGTGCTCACCTCAAACTTCGAAGGGTGTGATCTTTTTTGTGATGGACCGCAGGCGCAATCGTTTGCTAGAGGCGCTTTACTGAAGACGAAAAATTACGGCTCAGAGCAAACTGCTTGATTTAACTTACAGGTATGTGAGAAATGTGCCTTTAGAAACAGTCGAAAGTATGCAATGAATCATAAGACGGTGGGATGTCTATTTTTGAGGGTAAAATTAGGACCTTACATGGGAGTCTAGGATAATAGGAAAAAATTATCTTATTCCCATACTCTGTACACTCTTGATGTTTCTTCAAGTGATTGTCTTTTTTTTTGGCACTAGGCAACCGCATCTTAATTGGTAGTTCAGAAATGAAGATAACAAAACCTTTTTAAAAACGTTATTTGCCCCATTCTATTCTCGTTTGGAAAAAAATTAACCTGGTGCCTATTTTAGCTAATAACATAGTCTAAGGGACTTTCTTTAGTTTTATGGTTTTTAGTAAGAGCCTTATAGGCTTATTTTGATACCATTACATATTCCTCTCCTCAATTTTTACAAACGCGGATTAAAGAATGTGTTCGTGACGTTTATCTAAGGAGAAAATTTCTCTCTAACTTAGCAGCCACGAACTCAGTTTCATCTGACCTAGTGTAAAAGGCATTTAAAAGTGCTTCGAGTATTTAACTAAAATAATAAGTAGCTGATTAGATCAATGAACTAACTGATTTTTGATAAGAAAATGGCACTGAAAATGCCAATAAAGTAGAATCAGAAGTTGGTATTTCAGTTCTTGTCGTCATCCGACAATTTCTCCTACTGTTTTACGACGATGTCAGCAGACCAATGAGAGTTTATTATAGTGCCATTGTGACCTAATTTTAATGAGATGTCTACACTACTCAGCTTATTACAGAAACATGTCGTCTAAAATAAGGTCACAGCTGTACTGCAAATGATGCAGGGGCATAAAGCCAACCCTAATTGTTTATCGGAATTATCGGGAGTCGCATTTTGTTAGCCCATTATCGAAACGTTTTTGTTCCACAGTACCGGTGCATGAAATCGACATTACTTCCACCAGCCTAAGAGGCACAACCTCAACGCATCATTGATCCCACGCCCCTGCAGCCCGCTCCTCCTGCGCGCTACGCATTCAGTGTTGCCCTACGTGTGCGATAGCTCTACGCTATTGTCGACATGCACACACACCCCAAAAGCGATAAGCAATTAAGTTGGGCAGGTAGGTAGGAGGGCAAGCAGGCACGTGTGCGCCTCCACTTGCTCAAAACTGTTTCGAGAAGCGCACACGAACAAAAAGAGAGTAGGAGAAAAGCACCAATAGTCAGTGGTGCTGCTTATGTGTGCGCCCTTGCACACCCGCGCGCATACTGAAAAAAATTGATTTTTGCTAGAGAGGGTGCAATGAACTGAACTCACAGCGTCACTCTGACCTTTCTGTAGTTCCTCGTCAGCCAATGGTAGCGCGGCTACAACGCTAGTCAATCCTGTTGCAAGGCTGCATGATATATACTACTCACTGCCTTGTCTATGCCAACACGACTACTTTTATTGCTGAAAAAGGGGTAGTTTCGGTTTGATTATCTCGGTGTGAGAAATGACAGTTGTTTTCAGCCTTAACTATGCCCTTGGCAAAGAATTAGTTGCCAACAGCTCAAAATTCTTCTTTTCTCAGTTGTGGTTATGTTTGCGATTGATAAGCATAAGCAAAAGCCACTTTAATGCTCTGTACACAGTGATGGTAAAGCGAATTTTAACGCTAATACAACTACCGACATTACCTTTCCCTTTGTATTCATTATGTACCTGTAGGTAAAAGTGAACTCAAAAATTATTTCATAAAACATAATTAATTTGTTGTGGAACTTAGGTGGGCTGTACTTTTATGCCACAACCCTTGGATATCTTCTTAGCCAAATTACTTAGCCAAATACTTGTGATCGACAGTTTTGTGGAGTAGATATTAGGTTTCGTAAGCTTTTTATTACTAATTCGGTAAGATTATGATTCCCGTGCAAGGACTGGTGCGGCCAGCAAGGCACTTAAGCTGATGACACCACATTCTAACTGTTAGCCTTACCAGTGGTGTGGAATCGAGGCATTATTCTTAAAAGGTGCAGCTGCTAAAGACTACTTTCGATATAGTGGGGATGTTGATGACGATGGTGTCAGTCAGTTTTATCTATTGTAGGTAATTAGGTATTCCAACAGTTACCCGATATTAATGTGAAAAAAATGGAGTGTTCACTGCCTTTAAAAATTAACTGGATACTTAAGTACACATTTGAACGTTCCTACCTTTACTGTATTGCGCATTTATTTAACACTATTCGACATTACCCCTCCCCCCCCCCCAAAATATTCCTGCTATAAAAAGACGATGTGTCAGTGACTCGTAATCCGTACGTAGGTGTCCCTCTCATTGCCACTTCTCTTCATGATTGCCAGAACTAGTGCATTTTGCGTAAGATGGAGAAAATTCACCGGCATATTTATGTTTGAGCGTAGGCTGGCTTACGTAAAACAAACGCGGAGATATGCGAAATTTTCAAGAACTATTTTGGATGCAACAGTCAGTAGAAGACTTTCCCTTAATCGAATGAAAACCACCCAATGGACTTTTTTCTAAATGGCAATGTATTGAAGCTGTTAAAACCAAGAATGGTTTATACCTTTGCTTGGCGTTTACAAATCAAATGCATAGCCGACGTTCTTATTAACGACTTCGGTGACAAAATATCCCCCTTTTCACTAAAAGAAATTAGTGATCACACTTTTCTCACAATAAACAGCAAAACCAAATGGAAAGTTTAGAACTTCAATAAATGTAAATCCCTTATATTTTACTTTCTTTCACGATGTCATACAGGAAGGATTTGTGGAAAATCTTCTATTTGATAATAATTAACATAGAAATAAGCTTCAGGTTGTATCAGAAAATATAGCACCTCACACACAATCCACTTTGTCAGGTGATCGAAAGAGTTGGTGCAATTTTCGGCATGCCTTGCTGCGATGACTTGCTAAAACGTGTAGTGACCTGTAAAATACATGCGATTACTTAATTGCATGCCTTATAAAGCATAGATGGGTCTGCATCAGGTCTGCCACTACGGTACCCTGCACCATCTTCTCCCTAGGTTGAGCTACCATACACTACTACACTGCCTTACGAATAAACGCTTGATTCCAGAGCTGAAAAAGCTTCTCGTAAAATTTATAAATTAGTAGAACGGTGTGAAAAGTGGTTATGAAAATGAATCACTTAGATATGGACAAGTCTTATTCACAATGGCCCTTTTCTTCATAACGAAGAATATGGTGTCGCTACCGACATGATACCGGGCTTAAAGTGGAACTATACGTTGACGCCTATATAAACTCCGAAAGCCGTAAAAGTTGATAGGTAAATATGTAGCACATGAGTCATTACATCACTTCTTTCACCATTTTTAGTGTTTGATGATTAACGGGCTGGCCTCCAACTAGAAGTGACTCCCCTTTTTCAACATTTTTTAATGAAACAAACGCATTGGCTCTCCTCGAACAATCAATTCTAATGCACGCACTACTTTGCCCACGTAAAACAATGCATGATTTGTCTGAGCTAAACGGTGGGTGAAATTAATAAGTGTAGGCTTCCCAGTAAAAATTAAAGTATTATGACTGGGACCTATATACTCGGTTCGACTTGAGGATGACTAAGTTTACCACGTTATCTACCAGCGTCAGTTATTAATCGTACTCAGCAGACCCTGCGCCGTAAGCAGTTTAGATGAACTTAATGCATTAAAGTAGGTTCAGGTATTTCTTGGCTTGAGAGGGATTTGATCTTATATTTTATGTAATTTCATGATTCTTAAAACTAAGACGATTGCGAACACATTAGTAAGATTTAAATCAGATAAGATTTGAGTGGTTCTATTAAAAAATGCCAGCGCTACTTCAAATCAGACGTGATTATAAAAAATAAATAACAATCCAGGAAAATCACTGTTATTACATGCATTTCTATCACAAGAATGGTTCAACGAAGAAAAAGATTTATTAACCATACACGACATCATAACCAAGCAACCAGATACCGTTTGCTGAAATCTTTCAGTTCCTCCCACATTGAATATGTCCGTTCAACCCCAAAGTCGCCCACCTGATGTGGATAAACTCCACACGAGTAATTTTGACCAGGATCTTCTTCCATTGCCTCCTCCTCTACCGCCTCACAGAACGTCAGGACGTGGGAATTACCAAGTCTTCCTTCAACCTGAAAATCGACCCCTCTTGCCACCCTCTATGTCGATCACACCTTCCTTGTGCCCCCCTGAGGATCCTCCGAAAACCCTCTCCCATCCACCACACGCCATTCGTCGTCATCCTAGGGGTCTTTCCAGTGTCTTCGATTCCACTGCCACACTACCCACACCAAAGCCACGCAACCATCATGGTGATTGTAAGGAGGGAGACCGGAAGAAACAGGGGTTACATGAGGAGAGAAGTGGATGGCTGTATTGGAACGACGTCCGTGGTGGAATTCGTCCAACTCTCCTTACTGGTTCCTACCTTCAGGGACGCACACCACACCAAACTTCTGAATACCCTTTGAAGCTTTCTGAGTCGGTAAAAGGTCATTGTACTAGCGCTGAACATCTTGAAGGTGCCCTGGCAATGCCGATGGTACAAGGGGAGACCAGAGTCCAAAAGCTGTATTGTAGTATGACGACACTTAATTATACAACGGCGGAAAGCTCGTCCATGCATGATTTACTCATGGTTGGCGACAATGCGGATGATAGCAGAGTGCCCAGGGTACCAGATTCCTGGCTGCCAATTGTGGATGGACGGGCTCGATTAGTGCCAGTAAATACGATGACAAGAGAAGCACCAAATGCGAACATACCGGACGTTACTCCCAGACCCACCACACAGGTTGATGGAAAATCACAACACATTTGGCAACCACTGAAATTAAGGCAAGAGGGGGAAACGGCGGCGAACAGATTTACGAGTGGATGATAAGATAAACGCAGTCCGTCAGCAGGGTTGAATGTAAATAAGTGACCATGGAGAATGTTAACGAATGCTTTCATCAAACGAGGCATTTAGTAAGCAGATGATATTACGAGTTGACACCACCTACTTTTTTTGCAATTTGTATTCTGCTTTGGTAAAATAACTATTTCTGCGTGCTCTATAATTTTAGAAAATAAATCTACCCTTTTTTTCAGAACTCTTAGTGGGATTACACAAGTTTGGCATTAAAAGTCATTCGAACCACTAACACCACCCAATTCCCCTTCACGTGGATGCAATCTGACAGGCGTCAGTTTTTTTTTTTGAGTACACCATGCGTAACTCCACCTTTAATAATGCATGTCTTGCTCGGCATTCAAGAGTAATGCAATCGAACCGAGACTTTTGAATTTCAAAGAGGCATGAACTGAACAAATTTCTAGGAATAGAGATGCATTCCCTTTTCCCATACAGTTTGTAGCTGGTTTAGTTACGCACTCATTCTACCGGCGTTTAATTTATTCTTGGAAGACGCCTTCGGCTCGGAACGATTCGTCACTGTTGCTATGGCGGCCAATGAGTTAATTATTCAATATTGCAATTTTCCGTGAATTAGTGGATCCTGTTCATCTCTTCTACAGACGAATTAGCCTCTTGTGATAGGCTCGTGTTGCTTGGTTTACACGCTAAAAATATAGAAAAGAATAAGTTGAGGGTCGTGAACTGGTCACGGAGCATCGTATCCACAATCATCGTTGATGGGCTGTCAATGAAACGCGTGTACCACCCAAATTTTCCACTACTCAAGTGGATGAGGGCCCCATCACCAGACTTACCGAACTTCGAACGTTACGTTGGTAAAACTCACAAAAGAGTATTCACAAGTTTGCTCTAAACGCATGCACATGCTGGGTATCAGCGGTAGCAAGGGGAGACAGTGAACGTGTACTGCTGCGTGCAGCACAGCCAGGGTAGCACGCCTTTATGAAAAATACGTGGAGGCAGAAGTCCCAACTTTACGTGAAGCAAACTGGCAGTTGATATCCCATTTTATAAGCAATGATTTATGGCAGTTTTGAGGATTGAAAACTCATTTTAGATAATAATTTTCAATTTGAATGTACTTGTTTACGCAGAAAAGCAATTTAATTGTGAGTCCTAGCTACTGCTGCTCTGTCAACCTGGGAATTTTGAGGTAATGGAGTTATTAATTCTCATCTCAAAAGCAGTAAAATCGACACAATTACGAAATATAGAGACAACGAATTAAAATCAGTTGATCCCTAAATATGAATTGTGTCCCATATAACTCCCATACTATCACTAAAGTTTATGGCTTTGAATTCTTTTCCAGTGACGCCAGTTTATGCATCACGATTACCCTTTCCAGTTTCAAAGCTACTCGAAAAACTTCGCTTTCGCCACAACAAACACTACTTTTTTTGGAGAATGATAGAGTGAGCAAGTGGCATTACTGAGCCGCTAGTAATCATCCCCCATTTGTAAGATGAGCAACACGGAAGAACATTTGGCCACTCCATCAAAAAGGATTAAAGCTTCACAGTCACTTCTACGCGAAGAATGATTGAGCGTGAGGGAGCTCGCGGCAGAAGCTGTGGTGGGCAGGGTGAAACTCCTGAAAGACAACTTTTGCTTCCGTTGACCGTATTAGCTTAGAAAACTCTTGTCCTATTGACTGGCAAAGTGAAATTCAATTGTTTGCTACAAGAGCAATCCAAGAATAAACGTTTATTAAAGTGGAACAAAAAAGTCTTTGATCGTCCAAATTTGGCAAAATTCCTACTTCTTAAAAACAAGTTTCAAACACTTTTATGACAAAGTTTATGTGCATTGTCTTATTCTAAATTTTAGAGAGATGCACAATCCATCCAGGATTAAAGATATTCAGAGGAATTCAAAACTCTTCACTTAAGATCATCACGACTCTACTAACAGTGAATAAGTAGATATGTGGTTGCAACAAGAGAAAAAATGTGCATTCCCCTCTTCTAAAATCTATGCTTTCTTACTAATCAGTCATGGATCTAAATAAATTTTGCCCAAGACTTAAATCATACCCACTAGTGGAACAGTTTTTAGCATCTTTTTATGTGGAGAGCTATTTCATGTTGCAAAGATCCCATAGTTGTTTGAATTGTACATTTAGCTACGCAGTCCTTCGGTCCATTTTAGGGCGAACCCGGGAGCTACAAAATAAAACACGAGAATTAATAAATTGGTAGGCTTCGGTTTTGGAAATGGAGCGTTAAGTTGTACATAACGTACAACGTGTAAGGCATTTGGTCCTGCCAATAATCTGTCCATGAGCCGCATCACATTCAGGACATTACTCCTAGGGTCGCTACCTATTAAAATAAATCGAGAATGACACTCCAAAAACAACTGCTCTCTAGGTTTGGCCCGAATGCCAAAACGAGTCACCTGCACTTACAAAAAGTGGGGAGGAGCGACATGTGGACAAGCGGATGAGCTTCGTACTGGACAATAACCTCGATAGACTACCAATGTGGTCTTCACTTCTTTCACGCGTTACAATAATGGGCTTTTTTATTTTGTCGACTATGTCGCGGATGAATGACGCATGGACCTGATTCAAGTCTCTTCTAAGCGAACTATCATTGGCAATTCTCAGCCACTAGCCTCACTACCAAGTCCACAATACCAAGAACCACACCACTTCATTCCTCGAACACCATACTAAGTACGGATGTAAATGCCCGCCATAAATTGCGAGTAAAACAACTGAAACGATGTCCTATTCCTGTAATTCCAGAGGAAGATAATAAAGAACCCCATTCCCGTGATGCAACAAAGCAGACCCGCGAAACATGAACGCATACTTATGACGCGAAAGGCGGATTTGTCCGCGGGACCGGTGAATGCAATTCCGTCACTCACAGACATATGCATTGTTGAATAGTTAACTCCCACTCTGTCATCAGAACGGTTCCATCGCAGTGACAAATCCTCCTAAGTGGAAGATGTCCTTCAAGCATTAATTAAACGCCCATGGAATGGGAGCAAAGAAGTGAAAACCTATGCAGGGAAAGAAAGGCGGCCTTGTCCTCTAAGGCTTGCTCGTTTGACACCCATTCTAGAATCAAAGTTGGGCACCCTCGCCTAATAATGCGGTGAAAGTGGGGACCAAGTTTCAAACTGCCTGCTCTATTTAGCGACAACTAAAGGAAACCAGTTTCGGTACCGTTGCGTCAGTCAACGGCCAAATTACATCTACTCAAGGAAACAAATAGCTAGGAATCTATATTTTCTAACTAGATGGAAACTACGGTCTGCCACCCACCTTCAGACAACAAAGAAATAACAATATTAATAGGTGGAATCGATATACAAGGCAAATCATAGATCGTCTGCACTAGATGCTTTTACAGTTCCGATGAGAAACTAGTAAATATAAATACGATTAAATGTGGAGGTGATGCCCTGGGAGATCGAGATGGCACGGGAGGAGCACCAGAAGACTAGGGTTGGTTTACTTTGCCCGCCTTGTAATTTCTATCGATCACATCGCTTTGAAGAAACATATGGAGGCACTTCTCACTTTGTACCAATGGATGACCTGCAACCCTGAAGTATTTTTACAAGATCTATTAATACAAACTTCATGTGTACATGATAGCATATTCCGACATCGCCATGAGTTTTACTCCTCAAAACAAGTCAAATTAGGTAGCAGCCAATTCATGACGTTTCATGTGAACACTTCCAGACATGCAATAACGACGACCATAATGTAAAAAGATAGTGTTCGGAAAAACTTACTTGTTAATAAACTCCTCCAATCCCTTTCTCCTTGATTCAATAAAATCACTGTCGAAAAGCCCGTCGTCAGCGCGAAAGGGAATTTGTCTTTTCCATGCCTTACCAGGAAGTTTAGGAACGATAATCTGAAATAAAGTTCAAAGGCGAATAAGACAATAGGCTTGAGAAAAACCCACCTTACTTTCGCGATCTAATTCACCGCGTAACCAGTCGAAATCTCGATACCGCCGACGAACACTCGACTCCGACAAACGAAACACAGGGAGATTAGTCTATGACAAATTATGCACATTAATTATCTCACCTTCAGCCTCACTTCATAATCAACGTATCGCGATTTCGCATCCCCATGAACTTGTGGATTGCAAACATCAATTTCAAGGAAGTTCGCAGGTGGTGAGTACGCATCCTCTAGTGTTTGTTGTTTTGTTTCAAGCCTTTGCGTTGCAGACGTCATTTCCGAAAGCGAAAGAAGGCACGGTTACTCACACGACTATAACCTTGGCTTTAATCCAATAAAGAGCAGTGTTAATGATAAGTAGAAGTGATTAGACAGTATCCAAAACAAATAAATTGCTGAGTGACAAACCAAAATAGTAATTACTTGCTTCCAGCACTATAAAATTCATATACCCCAAATATTTATACAAAACTTGCTTGTGAATTAACGCTACGCCCAGTAAGCAAACAGATTATTTTATTTGTAACTTTTAACATTACTTAAATAGTACGCCCATTACGATCCCAATTTCTTATGGGGAAATCTGCAAGTAATACATATTTATTTGAATTCATATTTTAGGAAAGAAAATGTCAGTTTACGCCAACCTTATAACCTAGTGGACACCACTGTCCCCTGAAAAAGAAGGGAAACCAAACACGTCATAGCCCTGATTCAATGTACGCTTTTGCAGCACTTATCAAATGACAGATGTTCCCCTTTAATTAATCTTCTCGTTCTAAGGGTGTGAAAGGAGAAGCAACGAGAGCATCTCTGGATCCGCTGCATTTGTGTAGCGTCCCGGGACTCCCTGAAGACGAAAGAAGACACAATACTCGGGCAGAATATCTATTCGGCGCAGAGAAGGTGTCTGGGCTATTGGCATGGCCCGAAAGGCCAGCCCACCCAGTGAGGTACAAGGGGACTAATTCAAAGTACAAAAGTCTCGCCTCACCAGTACCGAGGGATAAACCACTAGCGTTTTACATTTGTATAACTGTAAAGATATTTCTTGACTGTCTCTGCAAATCTCGCGAATGCTAATTTTGAATCATGGGTAAATACAACGCAAAGGCTTGTAATAAACGTTGTCCCAGTTTAAGTACAATGTAGTGCCTCAAATCTTTCCCGAAGTCGTTGAATTTTATTATTACATGGCAGATGGTGTTTCACTAATGTACGTAAAAATTGAGAGGCTACTCACATGGCCGGGGCCCATGCCGTCGAGCAAAAAGACGATCTGTGAAAATCTAAGTACCCGTGTAGATCAATGTAGAGTTTAAAAATTATAAAAGCATTACAATAACAGCAAAAATGGGGTTCTGGGGGCAAAATTTCGGTGGCTAATAACGACATAAAGGAAAAAAATCGCATATTTTTGAAGGAACCCATCAACAGTAAACCGTATTTTAAATCTATAATGAGTAATTGTATTTCTATACCTGAGCTAGTAATTTGTTATAATGCACAGGTTTGAATGTGAATCCTTACACACAAAAAGCCTATCGCAAATATAAAGAAGGAACTCACATTAAATACCCGACATAAGTACAAAACTAATGGCAAGAAGCACAAATGACTAACAATAATGGAAAGTGACTTGAGCCATGAGGTGACTGGAAAATTTGGCATGGTTTTTGCCTTAGCTCAACATTTAGGGACACGTAAAATGCCAGCCTATGTGTGCGTCAATCCATCGGCGCGTCACTCGCCACCTTCTTTGTATCCGCACATCATAAAATGTCGGTTGGACTAAACCGATGGATGCGGTTTGACCCTGACTGCTGAACAAACTGAAGCTGGCTCAACCCTAATGCTCTGAAAGCGTCTTATGAAATGTGTCCCACGTATTATGAGAGTGTGGGATAGCAGAACGCGCATCACTTAGAAATGGTTTCAACAGTTTAATTTAATTTGATGATAATTCCCTCAGGAACAACCGTACATGTTTGCAAACACTCTCTATTCTTGAACATGAAGATTTGCGTACCTCCATGAAAGATGTTCTTCCCATTTACACGATGAGAACAAGTTCTAGTAATGCTTAGCATAAGTGATTATAAACTCCACATACACCCACACTAATGGGGAAGTTAAGAGATGACAAGAAACTTTAATGGCTATCTCTTTGTTCCGCATTTCATTTATTTCACTCAAACACGCCATTCTACTTTCTTTTACGGTTGACATACTGACTGATGTATAATGAGAATGCAAGGCTTTTACACCCTGTCTCAAAGCTGAGCGGACAACTAGCTTTCTAAGATACACACTAGCTTATTCCTGTCAGGCTATTTTAGTTTTTTTTGCGTGAATGTGCATGCAATAGGCTGCTGCCAATATCGCTCCTTAAGAATCAATCACTTGTTGAGGAACATACAATCACGGCCAAGACCTATCGACTCTGTAAGGTTAGATGAAATGCAAAGTTGTGCAAGAAGAACTTCTTTATCATCAGCAGATACAGAAACAGTCAGGACTGGCCAATCAGGGCAATACGTTAAACATAACACCGCCGCAAAACTTAATCGTCAGAAGTTTTACTTTAGAATAGAGGGAGAGGGAGGATGGAGATGGAAGGATAAGGGATAGGGAGGGGAAATGTAGTCGGAGGTAATGTCGCATCTTTATCTATAACCCACGTTTTGTCCTAATTCCTATTTCTGCGGGTGACAAATATCACATCTTTTTGGCATTATTAGTAGACTATCTGATAAGAAATAAGAGGGCTGCTGGAAAATAAAAGTCTGGCGTAACTTGAGTCAGCGAAGGCTGAATTCATTGCTTCTGAATATACGGCGCATATTAAGTGTAAACTCTGAGACAATTTTGCCTTTTCCATGTGAAAGGATCGGCTTGCGTAATGCAATAACGATCAGCTCAACGCATCAACAATGTTGAGAGGCTCTGTGCATTAATATAACTTTAGCTTGAGTCGATACGGTTATTGTGTATTGTGGCTGGCTTCCACTTCGTTACATGAAGTGTGAGCATAATTTTCCTTTCAAATTAAGTTGGAGTTCTCTTTTCTTAATGGCAGAACTGCGTTGTATTTCGCTGCATATTCCAGTTCCAAAGGCTGCTCTGCTACCACGCCTTGTTCAACTGTCGTGCAACACCATTGATGAGAAGTTGCCACAGTTTCAAAGCTAAGTCCAATTCGGTGTCCAAAAACCAAGTCCATTAAGTTCGACCAACTTTTATGCTATGGCAGTGAATGCCAAATGAGAGAAGAATAATAGAGTACAATAAAGAGTTCCCTACTGATAGGGTGACATTTCATGCTACATGCAAACAAGTTTCCGACGAATTGCATCCAGTCACATGATGCTTTGATCTCCTGACAATGTGTAATTTCCCAAATACAACTTTATTATACCATATTTGAATCATTTACAGTTTGTACACTCGAAAAAGTTGCTCATAAACAAACAAAATAGTGATGAAGCTTTAACGAAAAGTCCTCGTATCTTGAATGACGTATGCATTCGTCGGTTCATTCAAATAAAATAGAACAGCTAATAAAAATACTCATGCACCGCGCATATAAATTAATGCGGCCATTTGATCCTTGCAGTTGCCAAATCATTTCAGTGCTCCCACGTTTGACACTTATCCATCTACGAAGACCAATCCAGTCGAAACGTGATCAGTAATTTTGCCTTAAGAAAAGAGGCGGCTACCGTGGCAGTAGCGCCATTAGTGGGAGTGGTAAGAAGCAAGTCTGTTCTCTTACACCTTATAATAGTCAGTCCAATCCAGACACTCAATCTAGTTTCAATGGCAGGCAGCGGTTGAAGTGTATGCTTGTACGCAACAGCTTTTAGCAGTAAAAATTTTTTTCCGTCGAAAATTCGCCAAACCTAACTCCTACCGACGAAATCAAGCACATCTACTGCGCTGATAGGACACGCAGACGTACGATAGCAAAAGGGGCAATGAGGTAAACGCCCCGGAGACCGTTACCAAAGTCTGTCTGTCAGCTGCCATCACGGGGGTGGCAGTCTGCAGGCAATTTTCAGTCCCGAAGTCAATCCTGCAAATGTTTGGCGTGTGAGCCACATGATCCTGGGACGCCAATCGACGCAAAATCATCGCATGGCTGTGTATCACTAGAGGCGAACTTGTCAGCGGGAGCGGTGAGCACAATCCAGCCATCAATGTTAAATAGCTAATTCACTGGTTGTCATAGAATAGTTTCATCGGTAGAATAACCTAATAGTAAGCGATGGGTAAAAGAAATATACCTTCTATTCCTAAAAATTTGCTCACTTCGTTTTTCTTTTTACTAGCTCAAAATTCACGGTTAGACCTATGACTGTCGTTTGTGATTAGTAAGACAAATAAAATTCTGTTTTAAATTTGGTAATCCACCCCCAACGACAGATTATGTTCTTTGGAAAAAGCTAGCATTGCAAAAACTGGAATTTCAGTCAAGGAAAGTCGAAGTGCAATTGAAATGAAACATAGCCAACCCATCTAACTAATTCATATCCTTTCTAAGAACCGGGCATTTCCAGGTCTTGGTTACGCAGATTCAAAAAAAAAACGCAACGAAAGACAAGAGATCTTTATCAAGAGGTCATCTTTTTCACAGCTTGTAAACTTGCAACTTTTGGCGTGAAATATATAAGAAGCATGAATTTATGTGATGTCGTTGTAAACAGAGGTGAATAGGGATGGCATTTCCATCACAAAAATTAACTGCATTACAATTTGGAACGTTGTTGTGCCGTTGGATTGTGCAATACGTCCTTTCAACAATTTAGAGGATAGTAATTAAAAGCACTTTTATAAGAGAGTGGCTTCCCTTTTTTCTATGCCTTGAGAGCCAGCAGTACTGACAATGTTACTCTAACAGATCGACGTCGGCGAAGGGTTAAAATCAAGCAATCAGATTCTTCAGTATTCTCCTTAAGAGCGGATCGACCTTTCAAGACTGGATTAATGTTGGAGTCGAGAAGTAATGCTGACATCAGAACAAGTGGAATGCTGGGTCGAGGCTAACCGATCGGACTGAATCTGACGATTTGGTGAGTGGCAGGTTGCGATGGTTGTGGAAGTGCCGGACGAGTGCCGGCCGAAGATTTCGTGTAAACATTGGTCCTTGTCGATTTGTACTGGTGAACACGTTGACCGTTTAACAAGTTGAGTGTCCAAGCTGAAGGGATTCATTTTATTGCTATTGAGTCAGATACCAGTAAAATATGCATTCTACTACACACTTTTGAGTATCATCTATGTTGCTGTTCGGGTGACATTTAAGGAAAAGTATCCTGTCAAGGTTACAAAAATAGAAAATTTGAGGATTCTATCATACGGCAAAAGCATACGTTATTGATAAGAACTAACCTGAGCTCGGAACCATGGCATTGGCCGTTGTATCCATTAGTGAAATGCGGGTCCAAATCACTTATGCTTGACGTTTCTGTGCAGGGTGAGCAGAGTTCAACTGAAATCAGGTAAAAGACTATGCGCAAAACGTCACAATGTCAAAGCGGTTCTCTAAATAACTACACCGATGGCAAATTGAATATTTAGGCCGATGTAGGTGTGCAATAGCTCGTGTATACACGAAATGGTTTTCTTAACCCAGATTTAAAGATTTACGTGGTGGCGGAGCCTGTTTTTTGCGAGAGAGATGATTTCGCAGGATGAGAGTCGCTTTGCTATTTAAGGCCAGCTGGTCGCTCTCTACCATCCACTTGGTGGCACCATTCTGTCGAAGATGACGACGTGACTCCAAACGGTCCACTTCACCACGACTGACGCTGTTGTTTTCTACAGCAATTCTAAGCGGAGGGTTAACGGTGGGTCGCAATGGCGGCTGCGTTCCAGTCGGTGTATGTACCCGACTCATGATTTGGTCGGCATCCGACGCTGCTTTCGTCAGCGCTGAGATCACCTCCGATTGTGGTTTCCTGATTGACTGCAAATAAGGGGTTACTCAGTCACTACACCCAAAATATGTGCATATTTAGCTCATCTTCTGTTCTTTTTTTATAAAGGCAACGTAGTGTAACCCATGTAGCCCGTTAGGAATACCTACAACAGGAGAAGATCGTTCCTACTCAAATTTCTAGGAGCTGCAATTTCGTGGTTATTTTCGCAGTGGAGTTGGAAACCGTCTCTCACGCATCTCCTTCAGATTGGTTAGATCGCGTTAACTGCACTTTAAATGTGCTAATAGTATCTTTGCGCCCAAGATTAAGCAGTCACTACAACTGCACACGACTGAGTCGGCTGGTCAGCGGCTGGGCTAGTAAGTGCGCGCCACGCCTCTCTGTGTTGGCTCTCCCACATCAGTCGACAAAGGCATCTGCCCCAAAGTCTCTGGCCACTGCGTATCCAGTTGGTGACCTCGATAGCATCCAGACGACGCCGACACACAGACGTTTCAGTTTTTGAAAGACGGATCGATTAATAACGATTTGCTAAATATGCTGTCCCTGACAGAGGTCAGTCAATTTCTTCTACGCTCCTTGGATTAACCATGCTTATTTCAAAATAGATAAAAGGAAACATTACAAACAAATGAAATTTACAGTCAACTTTTTAGGAAAAATATTTTGCAAAAGCATCATGTTTGATAGGTTTTTGCCTACTTAGTGAGAATGTCAAAATTTGCACTTCAGTTGTAGCTGAATTGCTGAATTGGGAGACGATTTCCATACTTTTGGAAAGAGCGATAGTTATTTTGTTGAATAACAAAATAAATGCACTATTTGACAAGTATGTGCAAGGTAATAAGTTTAACAGTCTTACCAAATTTAAAACACGATTCTCTCAAGATCTTTAATTTGACATATTTGCCGGAAGAAACTTATTTCGGGCATCAGAGATAATCTTTTCTACATCACTACAGCTCATCAAAGTTGGCTAAAATTCGACTGTTGATGAAAACGGAAATGTACTTACACCTGCATTGACAGACAGTGTCATCCTTTCAAGAGCATTATTTAATACTTCCTTAGAAGAGATCGAGGCATTTCTCAGAAGTCTCATTCCATCAGCCCTGGGTTTTACAGTGCTGTAACCGACCAAACATCGCTGATGTGATCGTCTGCGCTCCGTACGAACGGCAGAGGAGTCAGCAAGACCGGCTAGCAACCCCACCGCCTTCTCCAAAGCCCTTGTTCCTGCTAAGGCTGCAGAGGCCTCTACGACTTCGGCTTTGTGTTCGGCCACTGCGAGGTCGATCGCCTCGTTTACGGTGGATCGTGCCATCGTTTCAAGTAGACCGTTATTCTCTTCCTCACATTTACTGAAAAGCAATCCTAGGAGTTGTATATGCCTGGCAATTATAATTAATCAATCAAGGTTTACTTGTACATAGCAAAGCTGCATTGTAATGCAGAAGATATTACAATAAGATGGATGTAATGGGGATGGTGCTACGAATGATTGTTACTACTACCAGTTTCAAAAACTGGGGTTCATGTCGTGGGTAAATTCGATTCAGAGACGGTTACTCAAAATGAGACTGTAGGATGCATTCATGGATTCATACATGCAGGAAACAGTGTGTAGCTAGAACCGATGTCTTTTGTGAGTGAAGGAAGGATAGAAATGGAGAGGGTGAGGGCTTGAGAGGAGAACAGAGCGGAAGCGCTAGTGAGGGAGTGAGGATACGGAATTGGGGGCCGAGCAAGATAAAAAGATAACGTTCAATCTTGATCTTCATTTTCCACAATCTTCTAATTCGCATTTCTTAAATGATGAATATTACTTCCTCCGGCATTAACATTAGACATTTCCATCCAAAAATGGATATGCAGTTAGGGAATAAAACAGAGGTAAAAATGGGGGTAACAGAGGCAAGAAACGTGGGCTTCGTTAAAAAATCTATTTTGTTGGAAAGGTATGGATTCGTCAAGCGGATTATCTCAGTGGCGAAACAAGCTGACAAGCATTCTGTAGGTATAAAATTTTTAGTATGGAAAACGTACGAACTTGTTGGTTATGTTACATTAAAACAAAATTGCCTACTTTTGGATTTCTTTCACTACATCTGGTTTAGTAGTTTAGGGAGTGCAGTGTTTAATTATTATGCACACTAAGAATGTACCTAAGGTCTTGTTTACTCTTCGGAATTACATTCGTAATGAAAAAGTGCTCATAATAGTGCTTAGACAAACTTTTTTCGCGATTGACTAAAATGAAAGAGCTAACCCGTTTTCTAAGTGAAATGCCCCGGAAATTTTTAATGGTAGTGTTCTTGTTTACGACAAAACTACGAAGGTATTAAGTTCATGAACCCGAATTTTGCTCCTAAATTCTAATTTATGGTTTTCATTTAACAGATTCATAAAACAAGCAGGTGCTTGTTATGATAATTTCAGTAAGAAATGTGAATATTGGGTAAAGAGCTGATCTCGACTCCTTTCTCAGGCATTCCCATTCTTAATCCGATCTCTGCTATCATAAAATTGCGTGACATAACAAGAGTGAATTACGAGGCACCATTGAAACCCTTCCTGAGTTGGTATAAGCACGTCTGGCACTCAACAAGTGATTTGGCCTGGTTCATCTTTAAGGATAATAGGCCATGCATTGGATGACAGCAGGCACTTTAACAAGGAAGCATTACAGGTAAACGACTGTAGTCAGTTAAAGAGAAGGCAATTCCTGAACGTAACTTTGGAATCAACCACCTTGTTTGATGATGGTAAATATTCTCTAAACAATAAAATTGATCCTGTGCAACCGAAGACTTGATGTCCAAAAATATGGAGGGTGTTATTCATTAAAATTACTAAAACTGCATGTGGAAATTCATGATAGTAACAATATTTTTTAATGCGTAGTTGTATAATTTCTCATTGTTCCTTAGCTCGTTGATTGGTTTATAAGCTTTTTGTTCCCCATCGTGACCAAAAAAGAAAACCCCTTTTGATTCCCAAGAAAGGCTGGATAAACTCGACTAGGACGGGCCAAGGGTGTTAAAACGATGTGAAAAAAAATAAGCAAAAAGAAATTCGTGCGATGGTACATATTTGGAGCAACAAAAATACTCAAATATTTATTCTCATTGTGGCTGACTTTAAAATCCTAACCACCTATTTACCAAGTGCTGCCTTAATTTCACTAATACCTTTTCATACACTCGAAAAAAGGTTTTCTCATTATCATCAGAAAGCAAACATAGAAACATCTTATACTAACTAAAGAATAAGTGGCTTTTTTTAAAAAAAAAGACAAAAAGTTAAAAAAGGGCCGTGAAACTGCAATAAATCTATTTTTGCCAGTTCTTTAAGAGAAATAAGTTTTCAGCGATTACATAGATTTACAAAATAAAACTAGTAAGTTGTCTTTTTGTCCATGTTGAGCACGTTTTATGAATGAAATTCATATTTTGGCAGGAGAACTTGTGATTTTGACAATCCTACTGGAATTTAGATAAAGTATATTTTAAAATTAACAATTACTTGAGGCGTAATTCGTAAGGCTGAGATTTTCTTTTATTAGCACTCACCTGGTACCATTGAATTCGTATATGTCTAACTAGAAATGCCATTTTACACATATATTGGGAAGTAAAATACACCCATAGCTGAGGTTACCAATCATTTCGATAGGCTTAAACCGCTCCTGCCATCTTAAATCACAGATTAACTTTGAAGAGCGCTTAATTATAAGATTGGCATTTTGAGAGGCCTTAAACTTACTCCTTGGATTTCTCTCTTCACATTATTGCCATTGGCCCTGCATTTTGGTAATAAGCGTTGAATTAAAGTAAGTAACTTTTAGAAAAAGCCAGCCGCAAAACACATCATCACGTGTTATATAGCATACATCCAATTCTGTATTTGAAAATTGTCCAGCAATTAAATAGTCATATTTTGACAATAATCGAAAGCGAGGACGAGGATACCGGAAAGTATTCCTTCTACGGTTCCTATCACATATGTAGGGGAATTGTCCCCATGGATAGATCTTATTTCTGTGCTTTAGTTACGTTTGCTGTCTGAGAGTCCTTCAAGTCGGTAACTTTCTGGTTCATACATTTATTTTTGCCTGATTTTATGGTAAAGCTGGGATGTTCTCCTCCCTCTCAATAAACGCGCCACCATTCCTAACGAGTTACACAAAAAATTGAGGATCACCATTGCGAGGAGTAAACAAAAAAACACGAACAAAAGTTTTGTGTGACTTACTGATTTAGTTAAAGGATGCTTTTAAAGATGCTCTTTAGTAAATTCTTCATCCAAAATTTTTGCTTTCTTGTTATATTTCCAGCATGGAAACCAACAAAACGCAAACACATTTAAACAGTTTCCTGGTACAGTAGGTTTGATCACATATTAGAAAATTTAGAACTCTCTCATAAATAGTGGAAAGCGTTTTGTTCGGCAAAAACCTTAATAGCTTATTTAAACCAGAGCATAATTGATAACTAAATCCTATTTTAACCAAAAGAAATGGATTTTCCAGATCCCCTTTTGAGGTAATAATGCCTGCAATGTTGTGCAGTGGGAAAAAGTGAAGGAAACCTTCGCGGAAAATATTAACACGACGACATTAGGCGTTGATATACGTTAAAAATATCAAACACGATGATTAAACTAAGAAAATAATATAAACATAAAAATGTCCGTTGTTATGTTCATTGAACGATTATGAAGTGCAAAAAAGTTCGATTAGCTAAACTGACCGAAACACTCGTGTGAGGCTATTGGTTCCATAAAAAGATACTTAGCCAAGATGGAAGTTTCAAACTGATTGTCCATGATCTGGCCAATTTTTTTCCAATCAAGCCTAAACAAAATACGCAATAAAATTTCCCACCTCGACTCAACTTGCTGGTAATTTTGAATTGGAATCACACAAAATGCATTAAGCAAAGGAATAACTAAGTGCCGACAGAAGTAGAAAAGTGAAAAAGAATGGAAGGAGAAGCAGAGCAGCTTGATTTTTGAATACTTTATGGTTACAGAAACACTCACATACTGACCGCTTCCTCATGCTGCGCCACTCACCTCGATTGGGCAAGTTTTCGTTGTTCGTCCAGGCGCGCTCTACAGGTCTGCGCCTCCACCTCTGTGGACTTGCAGCCTGCACGCACGCAGGTGGGCGATTTTGGAGCAGCCGTGCATCGTTGCTTCTCCATTGTTCGGGATATAGATGAGGTGCTCGGGACCTCAGAAGCCTTTGGGAGCTGCAAGGTTAAAGCCTTCGATCGAGGGGTAGGAGTAGGTGGAATTTTTAAGCGATTCTTGGATATATCAGATCCGGTAAACTGTAGAGCAGAAAAAATATACTTATTTTAATAATGAGTAACTTGTTACATCGACCTTTTCAGCCTCCGCGACGGTGGCCTGGGACTCTGCACACACCGTCATTACTACCTATTCTCTAATGGTAAATGAGGATGCAGTTAGATTATAAAGGTAAGAGGTTGATTAGCTTTGGATTGAATGCGCCAATAAGAGGTACAGATGCGTTTATCTTCTTACTATTAACATAGTCAAAATAAATACTTCGGACATCTGAAGGCACATTTGGCTTTCTTGCCAATTCTACTTTATTTCAGAAGGTAGCATTGTACTGACAGTGCAAGACTGTTGATATTTGCTTTTAATCTCAGTTATTCGATCTTACAAAGGCAGACGCAATATTTTGCACTTTATTGATACAAATTAAATTGAACTCCTAGTCCCCTTTTTTGTCCATAAGAGTTCATTATTAGCATAAAAATGTCCACATGAAGAAAACATAAATCACCAAATTCACTTATGTAAGCTTAAAGAAGATTACAAAACAGAATAGTACCTTTTAAAATCCAAAATATTTTAAAATGGGCATTAAAATTGAACGGGGTTTTGATCTTAGCAGTGGTTGTAATTAGCTACAAGCCCTTCCCAATGGTTGACATAAAACTATGGGGGCATTCTACTCATGCTAACTTTCAATGAAAGCATATTAAGAAGGGGAAAATTTGAGGTGGTTCCTGCAGTAGTAACAAGTCGTAAGTTTATACTATAGCTAGTGATGGGAGCGCAAATAGAGTCAATTCAGAAACCACTGATCAAGTTAGGAGAGAATGAAAAGGGGACGATAATGCACAGAGTTTGTTTTCATTGAAGGCACACAATTGAAACGCGTAGTATTCAAGTCTATAGAAGTTTAAACACTCCACAGCAATCATGGTGGCTCTTAGCTGCAGTAAAACATGTGGATGATTTGAATTTACATGCTTTAAGGATGGTTGTACTGGTTACATTTCTCAATTTGCAGTCTTGACCATTTATTCCTGTGGAAGGCCTGACCTCCAACGCCTAATCGACCCATAATCTGGTGTGTGATGAAATTGGGCAAGATACCAGTCAATCTGCAGGAACAACAAACAAAACACAATCGTTTACAAATTTAAAAATTGCATTTGGATACTGATAAAGCTTTCCACTTTTGAACAATGGGAAGGTGGATCGAGCGCACTAATAGCTCTTCCCATACCAGATTTTTTCAGGTACTAGATAGCGCAGGAATTTCTGCTTACCACTCATTCTTTTATAAATTAAGAGCCTCAGCTTGCTTTGAATACCTCCAGTGCTTGCAGACTAGCTCGTTTAATAAGACCCGAAAGGATAATTTGGACAATTTGAGATTTAAGATGTTGAATAATTTTAAGCACGATTTGACATTTCGGCCAAAGTGTCACTCGGTGTTGACTGTCTTTTACCATTTTTGCATTCATGATATAAGAAGAGACTTCCAGTATTTGTGGTTGCTGGGATATCATAACTTAGAAGTGGAACGGTGATAACTTGGCTTAACTATATACAGACTGACTCAGAGATTTCATACAATGGTAAGAAGATCTTGGTTTGATTTCAATTCGCCGACAATAACACTGAATGCGCTGTTGTCAGTAACCCTATTAACCTTTAAATTTGGAGCCTTAAAACCTTTCTTCCGAAATATCCCTAATATTATTTTGTTCACACAAAAGTAACTGAGACAACACTTTGCAAATACTTTTTTCTAAAATGTGAATATTTTAGGCAAAGTTGCAGCATTAACACACCTTACTACAGTATGGTTCCTCTTTTTATGACAAGACCACCATTATTCACTACCGACTATCCACCCTCGCTTGTGAGGTTTCACTAGTAACAACATTTTTAAAAATACAAAGAATTATACAAAAAATTTGGTGCGGCAATTGGTGATGTGGGAAATCCCAAATATCGTGTTCGCAGCATTAAATTTCAATCTTGGCATTCACTCATAACATGTGCTACGTAGATTGACCTCCCATTGCGGTTTCTCTTTTGCTTTTACACTTTTATAATGAAAAAGAGACGAGAATTTTGGCTTAGTAACGAGGCTGTAGTCCACACGTCCACGAGTTGACAAACGCGATACCAGCAGTGGATATTCGGATATAAGTGTTGTTTAGGGGTAATAAATGGACCAAAGTTCTTCTTTCATTACTGCTTGAAACGGAAGTGATACTTAATAATCTAGAGTTTACAGCCCTGTAATGCCAAAGCATAAGGCAATCGAATAACTTAATGGCGTCCTCCATTAAAGTAGGAAGATTTGCAAGAAGCTTCGTTGGAATGATGGCTATTGTAATCTGCCACTTTTTTCTGGCAAGATGCCAACCTGTTGCGGATCCAACCCATAAAACCTTTTGTCGCTGGAATCGAACAACTCAACTCAGCTGTCTATTCAATTTCCTATGTGACTGCCTTTTGGTGAATCCAAAAAGGTGATATTTATAACCTAAAGAAATATAAATCCGGGAGATTCTGAGAATAAAGCTTAAGACAAAACACAATTTCTTATTTTTCACGGATAAGTTTGCGGACAAGACTTTCCCCTGCCAAATCATCTAAAACCAACTGTTTCACTTTCGAATTTTCATACCAAAGTCTACCTGCTCGGCTTCAACATCTTGCCTTTCCTGTTGATGTAGGTATAAACACATTCTATTATCATTTGCAATAAACAAAATTAAAATTTAGCCCAGGCAGGTTAATTGTTAACTATTGTGTCAAAAATGACATGTTAATTGTGCATGATCAAGATTTAAGGGTCATTCTGACTATAATACACTAAACTTTGAGTAGTTTGTAACCAAAATTAAACTGTTAGAACCATTTCTTGACGTACCAATTTCACGAAAAACCTTTAGAGTACTCAATCAGCCAGAGTTTAATGTGTGAGGGTGGAATACAAAAGTTAGGTAGTACACATAAACATTTATACATTGCGAACTCCAAGTTACAACTAAATAATTGCAAAATAATTAGTGATTGGGACCTATCTACTAAAAGTGAAAGAGAAGTTCACATCTTGGAAGGAGAATTCCTACGACTCTTTTAATACATTTTCAACCAGGATCTGAGTTAATAGTCATCGAGAGTCCTGATGTTCAACTTCATACCATAATACTCAAAGGCTAAAACCACAATTATCCTCAGGCCAAGTTCATTCAACATCTATTTGATAGTTCTAAAATTAATAAATCACTCTGCAACACAGTATGGTACAGTTATCATAGGCTAATGAAGAAATCATGTAACACAATATGATTCTAGTTGCAAAAATTAACAGAAATGAATTTGGACACAAATTTTCCCACTTCAATCAAAACGTTCACATTCAAGCCTTTTTTTATTAATCGCTCCCTGACTACGTCCTCTCCATCATTGCATTTTACGCAGTTAGAGATTGTTGCAGTCGTATTGGCGGTAAAAAGGGTTCATGAGTTTCTTCTATTGACCGGACGCGTAATGCGACCAGCTGATGATCGTAGTTTTGAGGTGAAATGGTTTTATGACTCAATCCATTTGTCATACTAGGCGAAGGGTTAAAGAATTTCACCCTTTACGAAATGTAGTCATGAAACTATTTGTTAGATAAAAAAATGATTGTATTAGCTTGTAGCAGCTGGAGAAATTTATCGGAAATTATTTTGTTTGCCTATTTTAGGTGTTTGCATCTCTCTTTGCAACATACCTAATAATTAATTGGCTGAACTTGTTTTACAGCATGGTTTAAATTTTTCATTCATTATAAAATTTAGCATAAAGTGCATCGTTATAGGTCGTGTCGAACTTACTGGGTTGCGTATCTGTGAATTTAAAAGAATGTGAGGTTAATAACTACTGGGGATATTTGCCTTGACTTCGATTGTGTAAAAATGTGCCGTTTAATCTCTACCAGGATGAGCTATCTAAGGTTTAGTGAGGCAAGAAAGGTTATTTATAGGGGTTCTGCTGGTCAATCCATTAAAGAAACCGGGATATCTGTTTCAGTACGTAAGTAAAATAAAACAGGAATTGCACACGAATCAGTGCAAATCTATATAAAGCGCTCATACTTGAAAAGAATTGTCACACATTCTGAAAATGAAAATCTAACAGGTTTTGGAAAAATTAAACAACCCAAGTATTTCTAAACATTGGTTTTTATGCATCAACAGTCAAAATGATTAGAAGGCTTAGATTTTAGTGGAATTTGTCATATTTTAATTGCGTCACTTTAACATTTACAAAAACGCCCTTACCTGCGGTGGTCTTGGCTCATCCTGTGCTTTAGATACTAAAATGAATTATGTAAAAGTAAGAACAAAATATATACATGTTACGAACTCCAACCAAAAAATGACGAAACAAACCTCCTAAAGGTCTGACATCACTTTCATTTGCAAAGGATTGGATCCAAGAGTAAGCAGGCCTAGGTCTTGATCTTTGGTATGAGTGAATTTTTGGGATGCTAGCTTCATCTATCATTGAATTCATTGATGTGACTGTAAAAGAAGGAAACCGAATCACATATGGCATCAAAGTAGATGACGGCGGAGTAAATAGTGTTGCATAGAGCTCACAATTCTGACTTTTTAGTGTTGTAAACAAACTTTGGCCTGAATTGCTGGAGCCCTTAAGGGTTATGCTTCCAGAATTTCTTCTCTTTGAAGGAGTTGAGGTGGTATTTCCATCTTTAAGAGATGCGCTAGGTCCTGCGTGCGTGGAAGTGATTGTTGCAGCAGCATTCGTTGTTAATCTTTTTCTTGATTCCACAGTGAATGAGGTAGAAAGTTTGGGAATCGCTGCGTGCTGATTTCTACCTCTATCGCCACAGCTAACAGTCTTTCTGGTGGCAGTTAATTGCTGCATTGACGACCGACAGACGTCGCGACGAGTGGAGCTGCCAAAACCAAAGGGACAATAGCGTGGATCGGTTGGATCCAGATCGGAGGCGAAGCCGCAAACCGAGATCTTAGGATTTACACGTTGAAGAGAACGCAGATGGTGTACCTGACCACCCGTTTTCGTGGTTGTCGCAGTGCCTGTGATACGTCGACTGAGGTACTCCTTTCTTTCCTACTAAGAAAATGGCTAGCTGGGGAGAAAAGTTGAATATATCACACAATGCTATTTAACGCAATTAGCCTACCGATTTCTCGAACGAATTTCTTGATAAAACAAAACTAAATTATAACTTTTTTAGGAACTAGACTAAAGTTGCATGCGTAACCCGAAGAAAGCCTTTAAGTATAAATTTACCACAATGTTTTTAATCCAAACCCATTCATTTTATCATGATTTGCGAAATTAAATACCATATTAAATTATGCTATTTTGGATCCAATGCAGAATACATCATTGCGCCTAGTACTATCCGTTTCCTTTTAAAAAGACCCCCTAGAGCAGGTATGAGTCAGCTGTTTCCACCACTCTGTTAATTCCGAAAAATCGATATTCCAATCGATAAACACTTGTGCTACATGCGAGCGTTACCATCGCGTTTACTTATAACATATATGGTAGGCTTTGTGAGAATAGATATTACCATCAATCACTGTATTTGAAACACTTTACATGCAGTGTTTTAAGCATCAATTGAACTTGTGCATTTTAAAAACAAAACATCTTAAGTTCTTATTTAACGAGTCTTAATTCACAAAAGGCGGGATTTTAAATTAATATTTAAAATAAGCCAGGAAAGGATAAACAACAAAGTATTTATGCCAGCACCTCGGTAAATAGACAAAAACATCGATTAATAGGAACTGAAATTAGAAGTAAATTTTCGTGGCTTCTAGTTGTATCAGCATCTTGCAAGATTGTGTTTGTAAGGAAAAGAACAATCACAGAACAAGGAGGATGAATTGAAACCAAAGTCACTCATTTTCATCACAAATGCCCTCTGAAAGATGACCATTCGGCTACTTGCAAGATTTGTAAGGCAGTTTAAACACTAAATTAAACGGAACTGAGTGATATGATCTAATATGCAAACCTGCTGCTCAGTAATTAAGTAATTTTGAATAAAGCAGTTATTTAAAAAGGCGCATTTCCTATTTAAAAATTTTACATTTTGAATTACTATAAAGCATAGATTAACAACGAACTGTGAAGAGCTGATCATTGGCGGACTGCGCAAAAATATTGTAAGAAGGAGTTGACTAGTCAATTTTTCAAAAAAAGAGTGTGTGATAAAATATATGCAACTATATCCGGTAATAGACCTCTTCAAGGCGTTTGCGACGCGCGATGACCTTGGCGTGCCGCTCCTCTTCACGGTTGCGCAGCTCCAAACTGCGCGCCACGCGTAGACTGTACGCGCGTTGACGAGCAGCCTCAAGAGCCGCCTCGGAGGCCTCAAGACTGGCGCGGCGCGCACGTCTGCGCTCCACCTCCAGCGCCTCCGCTCGCGCCCGCCGCTCCGCCACAGTGTGAGCGACTGGGTGATTTCCACCCACGGTCTTCCAGCAACTGCTGCTAGACTGCTCCTGGGATAATGAGGTGCTCATACGCAACAAGGAGACTAAAAAGGGGATATCTAAAGACAAGAATGTGGAACAGAATAGGAATTAGGGGAAAGTAATGGAGTTATTACGCTTGTGATTAGCACGAATGGCGGTAGTGGAAGCAGGAGGTGGAGGAGAACCGTTGTTTCGACGGAGAGTGATTAAAGAGCGTCGCTTAACCTGTGCAGGTGTAAAAGCAACATGACGAGGATGAGAGACGACGTCGGAGCCGTCTCGTCGTGCGGCGCCCGAAACAACCGACTTCTCTGATGATCCAGTCGATGAGGGCGTGGCATCGTCACTTTCTTGTCTTTTGGCACAAAATTACCAAACATTAATGGTGATAACAAATTCTACAACTTTACATAAGTTTTTAAAACAATATCTCAGCATATGCATGCATTTCATTCTTTATAAAAAATGGTAACAGAATTTTTACACATCTTACCCGTGGATGCTCCGTGTATCAAATAGCACACGATCAAAAACACTTATCTATTAAAAAAGGGCGCTACGACACGTTCAGATTCGTAACGACATTTACATTACCAAAGATATTCGAAGAGAATAACAACACTAAGAACAATGAGTGATGACTTTTTAAGTAATAACGGAAAACGCTTGTCTTTTTTCGATGAGGCATCGAAAGCTCCGTCTGAAGATTTTTCATGCCTGTCCTTGAAAAGGATAGTCTGAAGTTAGCTGGCACTTGTCTTGATGTGTATTTTAACCATCGGGGAAATTCGACCTCCACCTGTTGCGCGTCTTTCTTGACGGCATGCCAGAAGGTAATGCCTATATTCTTTTTTTCCGTTCTGTACCCTAACTACAAATTATACTACTAAAGCGGTAGGCATTATTGCAATTTCAGGGAAAAGGCCTACATTGGTCGAGTTTCCCAAGAAAAGGACAACCTATAAGACCGAGACCAAAGTTTTATCTGATGCATCGTTGGGAAAAATTCATAATTTAGGCCTGTTAAAGAGAAAACTGATCGACGCGACAAGAACAGTGCAGGCTACCACAACATCGCAGCATGACAAACTATGCTAAAATCATTACAAAAAAACTTATTATCCCAATTTTAAAAAATTGCTTTACACTTTGCGCTGCTCGATACGCAACTGTCTAGAATTGTTTTCAATTTGAAAAAAAGTGTAAATAGCATTTTTTTTTACCGATCAATTAGAAGATGTATGAAAATTAAGTCAAGCAGTAAAGGATCACTTCAAAAAGCGCATGATAAATGGAAAGGGTTTCCCTCGAATAGGCAATGTTGCAGATCGAAAGTCCAACACACAAGAGAGATTCTTATAGTATTTTTTAAAAGATCCTGAATTTTAAAAATTATTAATTGATAAACACTTTTGTATTAGTGGACTCAAAATGAAATCGTCGTTAAACTCGTATGGAGAAAAGAGAAAGAAATATATCACCTCACCTTAGCTGGCCATTGAGTGAAGCCTTTTGATCCAAAGTCCTGTCGACGCAATGCGACTGGAAACCCGAGTCATCGCCATCGCCATCTTGATTTATCATTACCTCTGTGACCGTATGCGCGACATCCGCCGAAGTGATGGAAGCACTACTCTTCTGCAAATCCCCATTAGTATCTTCAAAAATAAGCAAAAGGACAGGCTCTCTGAACCTTATTAACATTAAGAAAGACAGGACAGGGAATTGGTGTGCTCAAATGCCATTTCTAGATCAGATTCCCTCCAATGTCTTCAAACTAACCTTCTCCCATGGGAGGTTTTTAAAAAATTTGTCTTCTTCGAAACGAATTTGGGCTCTCGGAAAAGCAGCTACCTAATTCTCATGTACCACAAACTTGGAGCTGATGCCAAACTGTCGCGGTTATAGCAAGCTTTATAGCATTTTAAAGGGTGGAGGGAAGTTGCAGTTTTACGCACTTATTTTACCTCCATAGGCCAATCAGAAATACCCGAGTGAAGGGTCAGAGATACGCAATGACCCCCCTTCACTTACACATCATCGAATGTCGTCACGCCAACTTATTCTATGCAATTTCTTTTAAGAGGTACCTGAGGTCTCTTGCATGCAGAAGTCTTTATGGTCCATTTCCGATGACTTCCACTTTATTTATGTAAGAATAACAACTGCTCACACTTCTTTTTAGAGGAATTACGCGGTGAAATGCGGCTTCAATTTTACTTACAGCAACAAAACTATACAAGCTAGGGTGTGAAATCGGCATGATGCACAGCGATGCCAAGCATCTTTAGTTCTTTAAACTCTTCTCATAAATAGAGCATGGTAGTCCACTGACAATTTGTAAAGATTTGCAAATAAGCGTGGCAGCAAAATTGACGGTTTCATTTAGGCATTTAGGAGAAAGAGCAATCAAAGTTAACCAATGCTTACAGCATGTGGCTAAGCAAGTTCAACGATGTATGGATCTTTCCTTCATGTAAATTATTGTCCAAATACATTCCGACATAAAATACCTCGTTTGCACAAGAACATGAATAATATGACAATTTTTTGGATAGCTAAGGTTTTTGCATCGTTACACCGGCAGGGCATGGTCAATATACTGTGTTTACATGAACCACAGCTCCAATTTTACACATATATTAAAACCACAGTGACAAATCACGATCTGATGTTAATTAAAAAGTCAGAACATAATCCCTTATTGCGAAAAATTGACGATACTATCAATTAGATGATGTAATCAGACGAGACAAATATTGCAAGAATTGAGTTGTTTTAAAACCTACTAATTAAAAACAGCTAAAACACAAAGACAGCAGGCAAAGGCCACCTTAAATTAGTGGAGTTGAGTGAATCACTCGGATGTTGCGATGCTTATATTCAGTTACGATTACTAGGTGACTTATTAACCAGATCTGAATCTCACCACTCAAGTTAACGAATTCTGCCTTCATTAATTTCAAAATATCTCAGAGAAAATCTGTAAAAGAGAGCAAAACACAGTGTTAGCATTGTAAGTCAAAAAATGCAAAATAGAGCATACCCCCGAGTTTATTATTTTTGCGAAAGTACATTCCTAAGCTAGGTTAATTGATACAGCCAAAAAACAGTAACATATAAGCGTAAGACCATGTATAAGATATATTTACTGTAAAAATGCTCTTCAAAGGCAAAACACATTAAACAACTGTCTAGTAGAAGTGCTAAAATGGGGTGTTAGTGTATAATTAAACGCCGATGGTGAAAAACTCTACGTTAAAAGGGTATGTATTAGTCAGAACTCTAATTCATAAATGCGTACACGGGGCAACAAAATTCTTGATCCTACTTATTTAATTTGGCGCTTAAGATGTTGCAATCATTAGTACTATTTGCACTCAATACGCTCACTCGATAGCACAAATTTGTAATACCAATGTGTTCAAAGACGAATCCTAGCCAACAATTACATAACGTTTTAAGACTATTTACCGCAGGTAAATTCGCCGCAAAGCTTTCAGTGACTTGACTTCGGCAATAAGGCAAGCTCCCATTAAAGCCTGATGTCGCGAGGCGATGAGGTATTTAATTGGTTACCATATATGACCTAGAATGGATTATGAACAGACAAACAATTCAGACCATGTTTGTTCTCAATGCAAGCAAATTTGCTTTTCCATCGTTCACATTCTTAATTGACAGAAAATTCGACTGTGAAATTCGTTGTAACTTTGAAGGGCTGAGATACTTCTAGTAACAATGATGAATGCTTAAAAAGAATTCGTAATGAAAAATTGCCCGATAACCCTAAATCCCAACTGCACGTAGAAAATTTTATACTTAAAGTAGTTTAAGCAACAGACCTAAATCCGAAATTATGCTCTATAAAATACTGTACTACCGATAATTCGCGCAATTTATCCACCGCTTATGTTTTCAAATGTACCTATGGGAGAGGAAGAGGGCAATCGACTTGAACCTCGTGATAGTGGAGTGATCAGAATCCTCTATTGCAGAGAAATGCTCAGTCTTTCGACTTCTTTAGGCCTGTATCTATTCTCCTTGGCTCTAACTACTGAACGTGTCCCAATGTAATCAGCCTCTTCATTCAAAGGGTGTGGACGCTACAGAGGAGGAGTTGAACGAGGATAGTGCTAATATGGTAAGAGCTCCAGCAAACCCTTTTTTTCCTTGTTTAGTTCACACAGAGTCCGACTCACCCCCATTATAGTTGAGAAGCTCTGCGGCACAAAGACCAACTCGCTCAGCCAACTGGTCAAGTTCACTAATAAAAAGCGCTGGAAACTTCGTATGGGCTCACTTAACTAGAAACCCAACAGATGATCAGCCTTAACACTCTCATCGTGCTCTTTTGTACTGTACTCTAAGACTGAGTGAGCCTTCCGTTTCCCCACCCTATTTACTCTCAAACGGCTCCCATTCATTTATTCTAGTTCGAGGTAAATTAGAAGGACGTCCATGCAGCTTCCTTCTTCACTTGAACGCAGCTGGATCTATGGTAAATCTTCGGACCTTCTTCACTCTTTGTAATAAGATTACGGTCCTTTTTTCTTCTACAAAAGTGCCCTCAACAGAAGGAAGGGAGATGCTTGTAAAAGGGAGGAAGTTGTTGGGAGTCTGCAGAGGGAAAGAAGCTCTGGCAGTGAAATGCGCTAAATGTCCAGAGCTGGCTTGTGACGCGATACTTGGTGTTGATTCACTACTTTACGCCAAAGCTGTCCCAAATCTTGCGGAAGCCACTTTTTCTATCCACCGGTGCAATGAAACCAACACAGATGGTTTGCTATTGAAAGAAGACCCAGGTGGCATCTGCGGAGCCCCTTTTTAAGCTGCAGCCATATCCATGAACAACTTAGATGATCTTCGCGCACACCTGACTCACATTTCTGATGACTAGAGGGTAGAATTTCGCCAGTTTCTGATTAGGCACACGAAAGTATTTGCATAGCAAGGCGCTAAGCCGGGACGAACAGGTACCGCCAAGCATACGATACCCATCTGGCAACAATCCAGACGTATTCTACCTCCTCCGTCAGAAGAAGCTCTGCAACCATCAAAGTTACCATGGTGCTCTCCAATTGCGTTGGTAAAGAAGAACGATGGTAGCCTCCGATTGTACATTGGCTAGGGGGAGCTGAAAACCGCAACTAAGAAGGACGCATTCCCATTACCCCATGTAAACAATTTACTCGACTCCCTTCATGGGTCAAAGCGGTTCGCCATCCTAGACTTAAAATCAGGATAGTGGCAAGTGGAAGTGGTGGAAAAGGACAGAGGGAAGACAGCTTCTGTATTGCTTTATGAATTTCAGACAATGCCCTTCGCACTCTGTAACGCTGTGGCCACCTTCCAACGTCTGATGCAAACAGCATTGATTAGTTTATTCCCAAAAGCACTGTATAATATACATCGATAATATTCGCATCTTTGGTAGAGATATTCGAGGGCATAACGCCAACTTTAGACTAGTATTCGACTGTCTGCTAGACGCAGGATTGATTCTAGACCCGAAGAAATGCCGTTTTCTGCAATGCTCGATGAGATGGCAGCCATTGGAGACCATACGAAACAAGTGAGGACATGGTCAACAACAGTTAATCAGAAGGAGCTCCTCAGTTTCCTCGTTTTAGAAAATTGCTCTAGGCGTTTTGTAAAAGGTTTTGCTAAGTTCTCCATCCTGCTGCATCAGTTAATCAAAAGCAGGCACAAATGGAATATTAAGTGGAAAAAGAGCTCCACGCAAAAATGATGCCTCTTCCTTCCGTCTCAATGCAAATTATATGGACATGATTGTCTGCTGGCAATTATTCTAGCTTCTTTGAACGATGAGGTTGTGCTCATTTGGAAGAGCACTCAATCGTTGCATCTGTTTGAAGTCTGAGTAGGCATAGAAAGTGCGTTTCTCTCTTGCATTATTATATACTTTATCAATGATACCAATTCTTATTTGTCTACCTTGGTTTCTTGTAAAGTTATGGGTATTTTTGTCTCCACAGAAGGATGTCTATTAAAAGAGGGACAAAGATAGTTAAGATGTTCAGCTATCCCGGTGTATTTTATGATTCACCAGAATTGTTCTATTCCATACACTTTAATTATTCGCTCTTTTTCTTCCTTTATAAACATACTGCTTGAAATTCTGCTCCTCTAACACTTCAGGTGTGCTCCTCAATTTTTCTACTTGTCGCACTTTTTTTCTCAGAGTCCATTTTCTACAGGGATGTAGCCATTTTTTCCCATACTGTCTTATTTATCAATCTTGTATTTGAGTTCGATTTTAAAACGAAAGCGCTGCTATTATTCTCAGCCGCAGTCAGTCACGCTGGAATTGAGGTGGTTGCTTGACACATAGAATTTCCACATTTGGCCTCCGCGTTATTGCTTCTGTCCCTTTTACCTTCAATTTTATTATTTGTGACGAGATATAAGACTGTTTCCTCTGTTTTTTTTTCTAACCTGGAATTCTCTGCCATTAGCACTAGTGTGTTTACTAAGCGCATTATGAAGTTCTCTTCAATTGTCAACTTTTGTCCTATCTATAATTTACCTTATAATGCACGATTCGGTTAGAAGAGCATTTTTAATCTTTCATGGTGTTTAATTTTGCTAATAGCTAGTGCTGTAATATTTCAAATGGTGATAGTTGAAAGTTCAAAGTTGTTCGTTCCCATTTTTTTTCAAAAACGATGCCACGGTCTGATTGTCAACGATCGAGTGAGGAGGAATTTCTGCCATGTAGTTATCCTCGTCTCTCTTAGCAAAGCGGTTTGCTCTCCAACAATTTCATTCACTTTTTTCAAATTCTCACATTTGCTACTGTACTTTGGAAGTAAAACTGTTTTTAAAGGCAACTAATCAAAAAGGTGAGGTCTCTATCTTAGGGCTAAACTTGTTATAGAATCTTGATGGAGTAATGAGTTTTCACTTCCTACACGTGAAGTCTAATATATTGATGTATTTTTCTAGGAGAAAAATTGAGCCATCCAGGCTCCTGATTAGGTCCCCCATTTGTATTGTGGTGATTTAGTACTTTGCTTAACTGAGCGTGGACTTGAGTCCCTGCAGATTGTTGTTGATCGAAGTGAACGGGGCGTGTGAGATGTGGTTGTCACATGTCGCGCTTTGGATGAGGTATTGCCACCTGTGGTATCGGTAAGTAGAACATTTGAGTTGTAAGAACCAGGAATGCAGAGGTACTCCCTAGTATATGTAAGTGTAAGTGGCGTAACTAAGATACCTATTTGCAAGCAATTTGGTAAGTTTTGAGACCAAGTTTATAGGAGTTACGCGTTGGTCGGAAGCCAAGTACAAGGCAGTTCACTCGCTGAAGTGGAAGCTTTACTATGGGGGTGGGCTAGAAACCACCGCTGCAGGTATCAGCCTTTACGGTTATAAGGGTGTTTTGCAGCCGACTGAAGTGCTCGGTACTTTATCACTGTACTATTTATTGCCTAAGTATGTATCATCGAGCTGTTTTTTCGCCTTCTCTGTCCTCGACAAACCCAATTAAGAATTATGGGTGTGATTCCATTATTGTTCTCAGTGGAAAGACGGTTAGTTAAAAGTTCCGGTTTGACTGCAATGGATAGAGATTTTAATAAGCTACAAGCCTGAATGGCATGAGTGGAGGCCTACTGCATTGTAGCAAAGATTGACTCAAGAGAAATTAGGAAGGTCCACTTAATACTAAGGCATGTATAAATGCTTCAGTCTATTGCACAACCGTAGTCATGTTCTTAGTAATGATTTATCTGCGTCAGATGTCACCGTGGCTTATCTAGCACACTTAAATGGCTTCAGAACTAAATAGTACTGGGCTGCACATCCTGTCCTTTATCGGCTGCGCATTGATTTCGAGTGTTTTTTTCGGAAATATCTGTCTAAGACAAGATTCATTCGTCTCAACATGCTATGTATGCCGGTGGTTGAGATTTACTGCGGTCTAGGAAAATGTTAAGCCCTTATATTTGGAACTTTTTTTGCTTTTAAGGGAATAATTCAACCAGTGCCTTGTGCATTGTGCCATCTGGTTGGGGGATGTCTGCAATCTTAGCCCTGTAGATGTTGGTGTGATGTGCAAAATAACAAGAAGATGGATTGCTAAAGAATTCATGGGGATTCTAATTGCTTTTTTAGGTATAATTGTAGAAAGTAGAGGTTAAACACTCTCCAACGCAGCTCGAATGACTTTGTAGTTTGTGCGTGGATACCATTCCCTGAGACACTGCAGAGATATCTACCACTCCCATTTACCAGTCATCAGAGCCTCAAAACTGGCTCCTTATACCTGCCCTACCACCGCTGGAATGATTAGCACGTCCACAGAACTTGAGTCGGGTGGCTTTGTTGAATCAGCCGATGAGATATTTGGAACCACTAACGAATCGCTTCGGCCATGGTTGATTTGTATTGTACCCGAACTGTAAATCCCACGACAGATTTGAGATTAAATTTGGCCTTGTCACTTTAGTCACAAAATATTGTGGTGGCATTCCTCGCAAATCTAGTGCGTAAGAGTATGATCGTACAGGTAGTACTTCATTCTGATACAGACTGCAGTGGACTGGGTGGAGTCGAAGTAGTTTGCTTTTACCTCACCCAAAAGTAAGTTCATTTTTTTAGCATACGCTTTAACCGCCTTATTAGATAAATTGCCTCTGAAATCTATTTGATGTGAAATTTTTCCGTGTCCATTTTTATATCTGTTTCTAAAATATTGTTCAACTTATCAAAGCGTAATGAATTGCCTCGGAAATTTATTAGATCCGGTGAATATCTCTGGTGCATTATGCATATCCGTCTTCAATACTGACTTTATTATCCTTGGCTCAATTCTTTTCTTCTGGATTTCGTTCGGTTTGTTGGATATCTCTGCTACTTTTAGGGATTTCTTTCTCTGAATTTCCTTTGGTCCCGTTTATATCTAGCATGAAATTTATTTAATTCGACTGTGGTATTTACTTTTCATGTTCAAACATTTCTCATCCTCATTTATTCGACCTCGCTTATATCTCGCGTTCAATTTACATACGTCTGCTGTAATCTTTGTTCTTCACCATCTTGAATGCATTTTTGCCGCTATTTGTCTCAACTAGAGCATGTCTCGCGTATGTTTCAGATTTTCCTTTGGTGGCATATATCAGGCCAAGCTAAATTAACTGATCTGCCTCCTAATTCTATTTGGCGTAGTGAATTTCTTGCGAATAATTTCAAATCTCTCTGCCGTAATATTAATCTGACTAGTCTGAACTCATTTATTTACCTCCGAATATCATTTGACCTATTGAAGCTCCTGCGAATATTTTTGACCTGTCTTCGGTAATATTGACTCGACAAAGCTAGTCTCATTAAAGGGCCTCCTGATTACATTTAAATGGACAATCACTTCTGCTTAATTTAGTACTATCTATGGACATATTGTTCATACTAAGCCAAACTAGCTTAATTTTTCGCGGACTTTAGTTTACCAAGACTATTTCTCTGGGATAAGTTTAAACTGTCCTCTTTTTACTTTCACTTAACTAAACTAAACTGATTGAATTTCACCTTTATTACATTTGAAGTAGAGAATTGCTCGTGGCTAATTTTCCTCTGGACTCGCTTACTTTTACCTGACTAAGCTAATCGCATTGATCATACGCTAAATTTCATTTGATCCAGGAAGTTTCTTGCGAAATATTACGATTATTCAGCAGTAAAATTGACTTGACCCATTTAGGCTAAACTAATGAAATTTCCTCTGAATTGCAAGCGAACTAGCTGATTGCTTCGTGATTAATTTACCTTTATCTTCATCGTGTTGACTTGACTAAAAAATGCCTTGATTTGCCATTGAATTACGCTTAGCCTAGGCATTTGCTCGTGAATCATTTGCCTCCCTCCTCGCTAATGTTGCCTTTAATATGCTAGCCTTATTGTTTTGCCTGTCAATTTTATTCGACTGTACTTAGCTTAACTTATGAATTTGCAGGCGATTTTCATTGTGACCTGGGGATTCACTCGTGAACTATTCATCTTTGTCTTCTTCAATTTTCACTCACTTTGTCTCCTGAATTTCACCCTACCTTGAGATTTGTCCTCCAGTAATTTCGGTCTCTCCTCTGTGTACTTGTCTGGACTTGGCCCAACTTATTCATTTGCAGCCGAATTGAAGGCGATCCTGTGATTGGCTCCTTACAAATTTAGCTCCATCGTCGGTGATATTGATATGACTTAGTTAAACTGATTGACATGCCCCTGAATTACATTTTATCGAGAGAATTGCTCTAGACTAATTTGGCTCTGTCCTCTCTTATATTGACTTAACTTTACTAAGGTCATTTAGTGAGATTTGCTCTAAAATAATTTAGTTCTCTCCTCGGTACATGTGACGATACTGATCCCACCTCTTCAATTTTCCTCGGAATTAAAGCTAATTTTGAATGAGCCACTTACACCACTTTAGTTACTTACTTCTGATATCATCAGATCTCAACCACCATTAGTCCCATTTTTTATAAAATGACATTGCCTTATAAACGTTGATATAGCTGTTGACATTTTCTAATAGCATTATTTCCGCATGGATACTAGCAACTTGTTTTGTTTCCTAATAAGAATTCTTACACTTTTACAACTACGGTTCATTTTTACCTTGAAACAAGGCTTTGTGCCATTCTTCTTTCTCAAAAAAATATAAAGCAAGCAGTGCTACAAATTGCCATATCATGAACAGAAATTCCAAAAGCAACTGGTTTTCGATGTCACCAAATTGCGTTAGACAGGCAATTTTATTTAACATTCATTTAAATGCGCATATTTTCCATGTTAATTAAGAAATTCCTCACATGTTATCCGCACATGCAACTCCGATGTTAAAAATGTGTAAGTGTACTTACTTTGATATGTTTACAGTGTGTTATATTTGCTCGCATGTGCATTCAGGCAGCTTTTAGCCAAACCAGGCATGTGGACTGGAAGAAAAGGACAGCAGAGAACAAACAGATGGGAGCAGCATTTGTAATAAGTGGGATCAAGTCTTCCTGCGTTAATACTGCTGACAATGACTTTACTTGCTGCTAGTTTTCTTGATCAGTTTGTATGCGGATGTCTGCAATTTCACCACTTGCGACCATCACAATAGACTATTTGCTCCTAAACGCAGCATTTACGTGCACACTTTTTAAAGAAATAAAACATTAATTCGGACATTCATTTGAGATACAAATGGACAAGTTTAACTGAAATGATTCGGATAGCCAGCTTGTTGGCTAACCTTAAGAGATAAAAGTTCTCGACTAGCAGCAGTATTTTTGATTTGATTAAACTGAAATCCTCGACTTAAGGTAACTATCGGAAGGTGAATTATAGGAAGCGGCGGCAGACGCATGGTGTGGAGAAACAGATGGGCTTGTGACTTGTTCAGTGAGTGCTTTCGAGGAGGATTGGTGATTGCATTGAGGTTTATGTGATGGTAGGAGAGGTTGACAGAGGAGGGGTTGATTCTTTTCATACAAATTCATAAAATACGCTTAAAAGAAGGGAAATACATGCGTAAGTTAGGAAGAAAATATGCTAAAAATTGATGCTTACCAGTTTGCGCGGTCCTTTCTACTACGTTCATGTCTTGAAGAGGTTGGTGTTTGGTAGAGAATAAGGTTGTGTAATAGTCGGCAAAATTGCTCAATTTTTTAGAGATAGTATTAAAACTTTCCAGTTCAATACTGAGGCGTTGTGAATTTTAGCAAAAGAAAAAGTGGTTAGACTGGACGCCATTCTCAATTTTGGGAGTTAAAATTATTTGGTTAACCTGATAGGAGTCATTAAATGTACCCAGTGGGGTATACGATTTGATATGGCAGTAAGTGGTAAAATTGCATCGTGTAATCATCTCTACATAAAGATTGCAAATTACAACATAAAGCTTTGTTGATTAGTCAAAGATTCGCCATGTTGGAACATCTTTTGTTAAACTGGAATAAGGGATGCTGGTATCACATACTCGGCGCATCTTTTCCTTCCAAAGAGGAACCTATGCATCGTAGTTGAAGCTGGGATTCATAGAGCTATGTTGGGTTGGATACCCTAAAAGGAAGTTAAATTTGTCAGCATGAGTTCAGTCATCACATGAAGATTAGCTAGAAATGGCCTTCTGTTAGCATCCAAATGTAACCGTATGGAATATATTTCATAATTGAGCACCCTATCGAACATTGTAAATCAGGTGTCTAATTTGCATGTGCATTCTATAAAAAGGAGGAGCCAGCTTTGTTTATTATTTAGGTAGGAAGAGATTATTCTGGTTTTAGCAGTGTTCCATGGTAACCTATAAATAGCTCTGGGGATGGCGTTATTGCTTGAGGATTCCGAATAAAACCAGGCACGAACAATTTGCTATAGGATTATTTTGACAGTTTGCATCGAATAATGTCATTAGATTCTGCTCATTAGGGGTTCTTTTATTTGGCATAGTTTAAATGCCAGGTTCTACCTTTGTCTTTTAATGTGAAGTAAAGCAAAACGAGCTGACAGCGTAAATGATCGGATGGCTCCTGAATGCTTGTAAAACGTGGTCTCCCATACCAGATGTTTCGATAATGTAGCATTAAAGTACAATGCATCTCATTTACCTGTCTAGTGGGAAGCAATTTCGATGACTCCACTGGAAGGCTCCAACTGTTTCTAAACTACCAAGGGTCCATTTTCCCAAAAACAGAGGTGGACAATGTTTTGTTCACCTCTAGTATGGCAGCAAGTATCTTGATTATTCGCCTACACGAAGTGGAACCTTGTAACGTTCTAGTCTGTTTGTCTACCACTAAAAAGATATGCTTGAAGGACATCAATTATAGTGGAGTCTTTGAAGCTAAGATAATGTTAAGCGAAATGCACCTACACTTAACGTGATAATATTAATGAATAAGCCCAATTGACTTCTTTGTTCCCTTCAATGTCGAGTAGCTGGGCTTCTATTTCAGTAGGGAAACACTGAGTGGATCTTGTCCGCATTGACATTGTATACAGCCAAAAATACCAACCATCTATCTTTTTACACTACTCCTCACTGCTTTAAACCAACTCTACCCTTTCAAAAAGTTCCTATGGGATCCGTACACGTGGCAAACCCAATCCATGCAGCAGAAAGAGCATCTATGCCTATCCTTTCCTCCTCGCCTCACCTTCCCGTGCATGGCCGTAGCAGCCCCAGTGCAGGGAGTCGCGACTAAGGCGAAAGAGAGTAAATGCCCACCATATTTTGCAGAATTTTAACCACCACTTATCAATCCGGACCATCATTAACAGCTACTTAAGATGGCCTGAAGGAATCCACCAAACCTGCCGTGAATGCATAGAAGCTATCGTTGCCATTTTGACGAAGCAGGGGATAGACTGAAAGATGTCAAAGTGGTGTATTCTTATCTACAATAACTTTCCTCCTACCTGAAAATACTCCACACTGTTTATCCTCCTCCTCCTCATTCTCATCTATCATCTCTCTTCTGTATTAATATATATCACATCTTATTTCTTCAACTCAACACTTTGATCACAGTTTGAAGTCATTTGTTGCGTTATCGAATTTTTAAGTTAAATAATTTAGCTTATCGTCTTGGAGGTTTCGGTACCTGCAGAGTTTGGTCCGTCCGTATGGCGGTTCCTTTGCCAGTTTTTTGAACGCCATGACTTGGACTGGCTGTGCTCTCAATAACCAAAGATGGGGGAAGCCCTCTAACTATAAAAACCCTTTTTGGTGCTAATGATGTTCCAGACCTTTGATTCGACAAGAATGTGTCCCTTTCCGATAATGTATCATTATCCGGTAGCCATGGAGGTATCGCGAAATAGCAACACTGAATGCGAATCCCGCATTTGCTATTACGTTGCTTACTACGTAGGCAAGAATTGGCTCCAATTTATGATTTATTATCATGCCTTTTGTATCTTAATTGTTTTATTGTACTAGTTTCAGGTGCCAGTTTGTTTTCATTCTTTATCCTAAAGGCCTTTCATAATGCATGGTAAAAGTTGCATTATTTAATTTGCTTATAAGACACTTCTGGCTCGGATTATTTATTGACTTCCATACCACTGGTTAAATCTTCACTCCTCGAATGTGCGTTGATCCTTTTTTAGTGAAACGTGTAGTGTAAGACCATACTAGTTACTTAATCGTTGGTTCAGTTTCGACGTGAGTCGGTGTTGGAGACTGAGCCAGAAGCAGAGGAATGGCTTCTTGGAGACCTGAAATCGTTTGTTTGGAAAGCCGCAGTGTAATTTTTTACGCTATGGTCCAGTCATCCATATTTCCAGGTGCAGCATAAATTGAGTTCTCTTTAGTGGGACTTTGTGCTTTTTAAAACGAGTTGTAAGCAATGCCTACGGTTGCATTTAGTACTCTGTTGAAGACTTGATGGATGGTAACAAATAAAATAACATATTTTGTATATTCAACTACACAGAATCACATCTGCATGACTTGCATTAGTTTGCATTCGATGTAAAGGTTATTGTCTACCGGACGTTTTCATAAATCGGGAATTTATTTCATTGGAATGTCAAACCATGTGCTGTTCATTGGTAAACATGCAGTGGACTTAACAGGAAGTTGTATGGTTGTGGTGTTCTCAGTTGTTTATCATGTTTATTTTGTTTTGCTTGTTGTTTTCTTCACTTGATAGTCGTATGATTTTATGGTAATGATGGTTATTTCTGCGGTAGAAATAATTACCATGTTAGTAGTGTTAACATGGGCATGGCAATGTTCGTCTTTTTGGGGCTAGTTGACTTTTAGCTGTTGTAGTTGTTTTCTCCTGCGATTGTTGCTTTTAAGTAGTGGTGTGAAATGTTTTTGATCAGTTGGTTAGGAAGTGTCTAGTGGGTTGTTTGTATCTGATTCTATGCCTTTTCATCTAATAATGGTGGTTTTAATCTTAGGTGTTTATAGTCAGATTGTGTTTTTGGTTGATGGAGAGTCAGATGTGGGTCTTTTTGGTTTTCAGGTTAGTTTTTACTGTTTTGTGTTTTTGTATTAATCATTCAGTGCTGTTTTGATGTGTATATGAGTTGTCAAAGCTTCCGCTGTTGTATTTGGTCTTCAAGGAGTCACCATATTCTAAACGTTGTTGCCAGGATGGTATTTTTTGGGTTATTTGTTGAGTACTATGTTGCCATTGATATTGATAATATCATACCTGTCTTATGTTAAAGGTTCCTTTTTGTTTCTTGGTTGGTTTACATGTAGTGAGGCCTCGTCGAGAGTTTTTATCTTTTGTAGGTTGTATTTTTTACGAAGGTACCTCTGGTGCCGTTTCATACGTTGTTGCCGATTGTTCATGCTGAGGCAACAAGTATAGTTTCGATTTGTTTAAGGTGGTACATAATGAAGCTTGGGTTACTAGAGGTGTACCGTTGTACCCATTTTATCTTTGGTTCTGATTTTGCCTGATATTCGTTTACTTGCTGCTGTATGATGGCGGTGTTTCTTGGTGACTGCTTGTGAAGAGTTGGATAGTAAGCGCTGATTGGCGTTCTAATGTTTATCTCATATTATTAGTCCGCTTTTGAGCTTGTTTGCGAGGGATTGAGTTAAAATTGAATTCTCTTTTTCATAGTTTAGGTCATGGGTTGAGTGTTGGATTGGTCTTTGGTCTGCTGTGATGTTTCCTTGGTTTTTTTGTCATACTCGAGAATGAGTTTTGCTTAAGTCTGGCATTGGTGGTGAGATTTTGATGATCATTGTGGCTTTAGGTTTATTAAGTTTATATTCGTTTCCTACAACTATACAATTTTTTGTGAAGTGTATTTGGTTAAGCAATGTTCTAATGTTTTGTTTTATGTTGCATTTGTGGTACTTTATACAATTTAAAGATTTGACTTTTTGTCAAATTTCTGCAAGGTATCGCTTGGCAGCATGTTTGCATCCTTAAGAAGTGATTGAATCTACCAAGCCTAAACCATTTGCAGGTAGACCACCAGGTGGCTTTGCCTGCCCTTCGGAAATAGAACTCCGCGATTGCCGACATGTCGCATTTAGAGGGTCTAGGGCTTTCCACCAGAACTGTATCTTCCACCACTAGCACTGGGCGTTGTGATTCGGTCATTCTTGTACCAGAACGCACTTAAGTGGTGCCTGCTTGAGGGGCTGAAGATGCATGTCCAATTTTCAATTTTACTCTTGAATTGGTTCATTCAAAGATTGTGGCTATCGTTCCACCGATGAAAGTGTTTTTTACCCTCTTTCTGATTTGACGCTGTGCAAAGAAACGGCTTCCATACTCCTCGTCATAACAATTTTGTCACGTCACACCTGTATGTGTCATGAGTTCCTTAGCAGCTTATAATAACTAGGATTGTACCAAATCATGGGTCACGAAAGGATTGTTTATTATCAAATTATCAAATCTGAAGAATAATAGTGCTTCTGGTTATTGAGCAATGAGTGGGGTGTCCCGATGAATTTTCCTCTCTGATAGACCTTATCTGTGGACATTTCAAGTCGTGTTTCTGCAGCTGCTATCTCCGGTGTCGCCTTTCGATTCATTTGGTGTGGATTCACTGGCACTCAGGCCTTGTTCGTAGAATCATTCGTTTACTTGACCTCATTACCATAAGTGTCTCATCAAGCATGCACAAGTGGCTGGTCTTGAATTTGTTTAGTGGGAAATGTTGAGGCCTGCATCGCAATGCTTGAGTCTTTAGCTTTGCGACTATTTTGCTAGATATTATTTCGCTACCCTAATTTAGAAGCTTGGTCTTTTTGTTGCTGTGAGATGGGTTTCTCTAACCTGTCGTGCGCTGCCTCAATTTGGGATGGGTTCGGTGGGGCTTTGATTCGACATAGGAGGTTCTTTTACTTCATCGCAGAGCGTGGACTGGCTGCTGTCGACGTAATGAAGGTTGACAATCATTCAAAACGCGAGTTTTGGGTGAGTGGACTTCCATCGACCTCCAAGTACAGCGTCATATTGGCTTCTGGAAGGCAATTTCGCTGATTTGACAGGTTGGTGTATGTTTAAGTGGACTTGGAGTCGAGCCCTTCTATCAATGCCTTCAACTGGTCCTGCACTGTGCTCAAATGGACCAGCTCCGTACGAGCGCCTACACGGGTACACAGATAGTACTCAGTTAATTTCAGTTGCCGAAATTATGTCAAGTCGAATTACCCCACAAACCCCTTCATTCATTCATTCATCCATTTATCCATGGAAGGGGGTCCAAAAATCTGTTTCTTTTTGTTAGTCTGCTAATACGCTGACTTTAGCTATCCCATTGATTATGTGCCCACCTTCCCACTGGCATGCTGTATCACACCCTCAAAGAAGACCAAATCCAAATAAAAATACAATCCTGGTTCCACCAACTACATACAAAGGCTGAGATACCAAGGCAAGGC